TCCTCCATTCCCGGGTACTGATGCGGTTGGGCTCTGGGGGTAGTCCTTTCCTCTTCTCTCCCCTTTTTCCCCAGATACAGAAAGAAAAAAGGAGATTGGAGGCAGCTGTCTGATCCACTTTTCCCCATTCCCCCATTCCTCGAACTGCCCCACCCTAACCAGTAGTCCACATGGGATGATGGCATGCATCCCTCTCAACTATGTAAACATTGTCAAAAATAAAATGAATTTATTATTAAAAACAAATAGGTAAATCTTAAAAAGAAAAAATAAATTATCTATAAAGTGTATGGTTGGGAAAATCAGGAAAATATCAATTATGTCAATATTAACGTTCCTGCATGGATAATTGTGATATGGTTATGCATGAATATATCTTTCATCATTAGACACATACACACACGCATACATTTACGGGTGGAAAGCTAAGACAAGTTCAGGATGTGTGTGTGTGTGTGTGTGTGAAGAGATAATGAGACAAAGCAAATGTGGCTAAATGTTAATAATTGGTTGAGTCAGTGACAAAACATCATTATACTCTTCTTTAACATTTCCATAAATTACCTTCTTAAATAAAAGTGAAACAAACTGAGCACAGTGAAAATAAGGTGTTGTGTAGAGTAAATGCTATAATTCATTTCAAGCTCAGTGAAAGCACTTGGTGAACAGCAGGGACCCCAATTATTCCAGCTGTTATGATGGCGTGAGTCCAGGAAAATCACTTCACCTTTCTACGTCTGTTTCCTCATCATGACTAAGGAGACAATTCTAACAGCTCTAACATCCTAAGACTTCACATGAAATTTCCTTTCAAAGGGGCACTTACGAATCTGACTTCAAAAAAGTAGCTGAGGCGTGGGCACTTATTCCAACAGTTAAGATGTCGGCACACTATATAGCAATGCCTGAATTTAATTCCCAGCTCTGGCTCCAAAACAGTTTTCCGCTAACACATAGCCTTGAAGGAAGTAGTGACAGCTCAAATAATTGGGTTCTGCCACTGAAGTGAAGCCTGGGTTGCACTCATGGCACCTAGCTCTGGTCCTGGCCCAGCCCCGGCCACTGCAAGCTGCTGGGGAATGAACGAGCAGATGCACTATCCATCTGTCTGTCTCCCTTTCTCTGCCCCTCAAATAAATTAAAATATGTATAAAGTGATTGAGAACAGAAGAATCAATATTACAAAAGCACATGCTACCAAAGACTATTTAGTTTCAATGCAATTTCTATCAAAATTCCCATGGCATTTTCCACAGAAATAGAAAAAATAATCCTAAAATTTACATGGAACCACAAAAGACCCCAGATGCCTAAAACAATCTTGAAGAGGAACAAAGCTAGAGGTATCACACTTCCTGATTTCCAATTCTGTCATAAAGCTACAGGCATCCAAACAGTGTAGCACTGGCATAAAAATACACACATAACCCAATGAAACAGAGCAGAAAGCCCAGAAAAGAAAAACTGTATATATAACCAATTTTCCAAAAAAGGCATCAATAACACACAATGGGGAGAAAACAGTCTCCTCAATAAACAGTGCTGGGAAGACTAGATACCCACATGCTAACAAATAAAACTAGGTTCTTTTTCTTTTAAGATTTATTTTATTTTTATTACAAAGTCAGATATACAGAGAGGAGAGACAGAGAGGAAGACCTTCCATCTGATGATTCACTCCCCAAGCAGCCGCAATGGCTGGAACTGAGCCAATCTGAAGCCAGGAGCCTCCTTTGGGTCTCCCATGTAGATACAGGATCCCAAGCCTTTGGGCCTTCCTCTGCTGCTTTCCCAGGCCACAGGCAGGGAGCTGGATGGGAAGCAGAGCTGCCAGGATTAGAATCGGCACACATATGGGATCCTGGTGCGTTTAAGGCAAGGACTTTAGCCACTAGGCCACACCGCCGGGCCCAAAACTGGGTTCTTACCTTACATTATTCACTACAAGCAACTCAAAATTGGTTATATATTTGTTATTTGTCAATGAATGTGTATGTAATTGTACATAGTCATGGGGTACAGTACAATTTTTGACACAGAAATGCAAAGTACAATTATCACATATGTGTATATTTACCACGCATTAAACATTTAAAGGCAAAATGTGGAACTACAAAACTAGAAGAAAAAGAACAAAAGTCCATGGCTGGTCTTTGCAAAACACAAAAAGTCCAGGCAAGTTGACACCTAGACCCCTGAAAACCTTGCAATAAGAATGTGTTTTATGGGCCCGGCGCAGCGGCGCAAGTGGTTAAGGTCCTCGCCTTGCACTCCCAAGATCCCACATGGGTGCCAGTTCTATCCCGGCAGCCCCGCTTCCCTTCCAGCTCCCTGCCTGTGGCCCAGGAAAGCAGTCGAGGACGACGGCCCAAGGCTTTGGGACCCTGCACCCGCGTGGGAGACCTGGAAGAGGCTCCTGGCTTTGGACCGGCATAGCATCGGCCCGTTGCGCTCACTTGGGGAGTGAATCATCGGACAGAAGATCTTCCTCTCTGTCTCTCCTCTCTGTATATCCGCCTTTCCAATAATAAAAAAAAAAAAATCTTAAAAAAAAAAGAATGTGTTTTATGGGCCCAGCACAGTAGCCTAGTGGCTAAACCCCGCCCTCCTTGCATGTGTCAAGATCCCATATGGGCACTGGTTCTAATCCTGGCGGCCTCATTTCCCAGCCATCTCCCTGCTTGTGGCCTGGGAAAGCAGTTGAGGATGGCCCAAAGCCTTGGGATCCTGCACCAATGTGGGAGACTCAGAAGAGGCTCCAGGCTCCTGGCTTTGGATTGGCTCAGTTCTGGCCATTTTGACCACTTGGGGAGTGAAGCAGTGGACAGAAGATCTTCCTCTCTGTCTCTCCTTTCTGAACATCTGACTTTCCAATAAAAAACAAACTAAAAAAAAAAAAGAGTTTTACCTGGGCAAATTGGAGTCAAACCTAGAAAGATCATTTGGAGACCTGGCTAAGGGAATAACTCTGCCTTCGAATGGGGGAAATACAAAAATGGGAAGGACTCTTTAGATGAATATTACAAACATCGGAACCACTAAGTTAATCATTTGCCTATTAATTCATTTGAGGACAAACAAAAAAAGGTAACACATAGGTACTGGCATTGTGGCACGGCAAATTAAGAGCCACCTATATTGCTGGCATCCCATATGAGAGCACAGATTCCAATTCCTGCTGCTGCATTTCCCTTCCAGTCCCCTGTTACTGCATGGCAAGGCAGCAGCAGACACATGTGGGAGACCCAAATGGAATTCTAGGCTCCTAGCTCCTGCCTGACCCAGGCCACCTGCAGCCAGCTGGGGAGTGAACCAGCAGACAGAAGATCTTCATCTCTCCCTCTTTGTCACTCTGTCTTTGAACTAAATCAAATAAACCCTTTAAAGATAAAGTTAGTCCCTGGGGTATGGCCATTAGGTATAAAGTAGGATTTTTCATAAAGGAAACCAGCATGGAAACATGTACAGTCAGAGGGAGCATCCCAGAGCATGTTGGAGCAATGTTACAGAATACTTGCTAAAATGCCTGGGGGTCACTTGTTTGTGTTCAACAGCCTTAAGCAGGTTTATTTACTGGGGCACCGCTGAGAACCTTTAAAATGCCCTTCCTCCTTGAGCTCTCTAAGAGGGTGCTGTAGTTCACAAAACACATTTCCCTTGGGACGGCGCTCTCCAGAACATTCTTCAGAAAGTGCTGAGATAAGGGAGTCTTACTGAGAGTTGTGTTCCTCGAGGGGCTAGAAATGAAAATTACTAAGGCTGCGGCTTTCAAAAGCTTGTCTTTCTCTGAGTGAGGACAGAGGAGGATGAAGGAGAGGCAGAGTACGCTAAAGAGACGACTGGGGAGGAGAGAAACAAGCAGGCCCCATAGAGAATCCAGGCGAGGGCATGAGACGCAGGACCCACTGTCGGGTGGAACAATGAGTCAAGCAGGGATGTGCAGGCACTTGACGCTCACCTTTCGTGAGACCCCATTGCTTTGCAGATCCTCTACTATGCCCTCTCTAGAGATGATGCCAATTAGTTCCCATTTCACAGATGAGGTAGAAGGGGCACGTGCTGGAGAAGTAAACCCGCTACCCAGTGTCAGACTTAGCAGCGTCCGCACAGATTCAGCGCTGTGAGTCGGGACCGAGGAGGCTGCCTTCTCGTTACTGCAGCGCACGGTCTTCTGACCGCATAGCGCGGGGATGGAAGTTTGTTACATAATACAGTAATACCCAAAGGGTCTCCTGCCCAACGGCAGCGCCAAAACACCCAGAGGAAAAGCAAAGGACAAAACGCAGCCAACCAGCCGATATCACCTCGGAGTCTGGCTGAGCAAGGCCAAACAGCTTTAAAGGAATGGATTTTTCCGTAGTATATCCAGATGTTGAGATATCATTTCTCTCTCTCACACATTCCTGTGTGGACTATTCATTTTAACTTATGTTGACAATTTATCAGGCTATGTAAAGCATCTCCAGTGTGGCACATCTGCTTTCAAAGCAAACATGAGACATTATTTGAAAGTTAAAAATAAAAAAGCACTTCAACTCAAATCCCACCGCTACTGTACTTACCAGAAGCTTCTCTTAGACTTTGGCCACTGTCACTTTCTTTCCTGGGGATGTGGACCATCCCAACATCCTCCTAAAGCTGATTCCAAAAATCTGAATCACGGCTCAACTGAATCATCAGTGGCTTCAAAACAAACCTGCATTGAAGGTTAGCATTGGTCACATCCTAACTACTGATTTCTGTGCTCAGAATCAGAGGTGGGTGGATAACCCAAGTCTGGGAAAGCAGCTCAGGACACGCAAAAACTTATACTAGCTATCCTGGATTTGCTGCCATGGCAGAGAGATTGCCTAGGAACGCTGCCGACGGAATTGGAGACTGGGGAAACCAAGCTTTTGTAGGACAGCCTGACACCTCTGATTTAGGAGTCTGCAGCCAAGACTGCACAGGCGGGCCAGGGAACGGGCAAGACACAGCTTCTTGTCTGCGTCTCTGTTTACCTGGCAAATGGCGAGGTAGGGCGTTTGGCTGCCCCGTCGCGAAGAGCTGGCAGGGGCCGAGCGTTGGAATCGTGGCTGGCGCAGGGCTGCTGCCCTCCTCGCTGCTTCTAAGATCCCATGGGATACCCCAGCGGGCTGGAGAGCCCCAAGGCCAATGTGACGTTTCCACAAGAATATTTCTCCTCCCTGCTTCCCCGCACCCTGCTCTGCTTACGTCGGCTTCAGAGAGGCTCGGGTTTCTCCCATCCCTGCTCCTGGGAGGCGCCTCAAAACGGCTTCCAGATGTGCGGGAGGGGTGGGGCTGTGCTGCGCTGGGCACACCAGAGGCCAATGCTGGCCTATGCAGGAAGAGCAAACGCTGACAGGAAGACTTTCCAAAGAGCAGTGGTGCAATTCGGAGTGCAGAGTGCTTTTGAGGGTTTTCAACTGCTCACCTTTGAAATGCAGTCCCCCTCACCTCCTCACCACCACCACCCCGCCCTCCGCCCCGTGACCCCCAAGCAAAACCCAGATATCAGCTCTGGTCAGAAGAATGAAGCAACTTACTTTTTGCTTAAAGAGTTAAAAAAAATTAGCTTAATTTTTTAATTTGCAGACCTAGAGAGTGAAGGACAGAGAGCTCTTCCATCTCCCAGTTCACTGGCCATATGGTCTCAACAGTCGGGGCTGGGCCATGTGGGTGCAGGGGCCCAAGGCTCGGGCCACTTTTGGTTGCTTTCCCAGGCACATTAGCAAGGAGCTGGATGAGCAGTGGGGCAGCCAATGTAGCACCTCCTCCACCAGACAAGTTCCTGGCAGGGTCACTCACTGAAGGATCCCAGCATATGCTGCCTTCCTTCTTGGGATGTTCTCTGCAATGGAAATGCAATGCACACTTCTAACTTTAAATTGCTGAGGACCACATTAATAAAACTACAAACAGGCAAAAGCATTTTACCCAATAGATGCAACATTCTAGCTTTGGGAAATATTTACTTATTTATTTGAACTGCAGAGTGACAGAGAAAGAAGAGACAGACAAAGAGAGAGAGAGAGATTCATCTGCTGGTTTACTCCTGAAATGCACACAACAGCTGGGCCTGGGCCAGGCCCAAGTCCAGAGACTGGAACTCCATCCTCCTTGCTTTAGTGGGTGCAGTTGACAGAGCTCTTGCGCCATCTTCCACTGCCTTCCCAGGTTCATTATTAGCAGGGAGTTGGGCTGCAAGTTATACAACCATGACTTGAATTAGCGCTCATCTAGGATGCAGTGTCACAGGTAGTGTCTTAATCCACTGCACCACAAAGCTGGGCTCTGGATTTTTTTGATTCCACATGTGGGATCACACAGTATTTGTCTCTCTGTATCTAATTTATTTTACGTAGAATAAACGGTTTCTAGGGTCATTTGTGTTGTTGCAAATGATAGGATTTCAACCTTTGTATAAGGTTGAGCATTTTAGCATGAACAAGCAGTCTTTAAAAAGTCCATGGGCATATGTATTATGAAAGAACTTTGCATGGGTTTCCGGCTTGGTTTTTTTTTTTTTTTTTTTTTTTGCACTAAAATATCCTTTAATTCAATTTCCCACAAACATATCAAAGTGTTTTTGTATATATTCAGTATTTTCCCTCTCTATTCTTCTGTTGATGGACGTGCTAGCTATTCCCATGTCTTGGATATTCTGCACAGTGCTGCAGTGAATGTGGAAATGCAAATTCCTTTCCAGACACAGTACTGACTTCACTTCCTTTGGATATATACCCAGAAATGGCACTGCTGACTTAGCAGCTCTATTTCTCATTTCTTGAAAATCTGTACTGCTTTTCATAATGAATGCATTTTTATTGTTGATAAAAGAATCCATAAATTATGAACCAGGGAAAAGGATTTTAGCACTAAGTTATGCTTATTTATTTATTTATCTATCGGCAAGGCAGACTGGCAGAGGTCAATGGAGAGACAGGGAGGGGAAAAGACCGAGTTCCACCATGCACGATTTCACTCCCTAAGTAAATGACCACAATAGTCAGGGATGGGTCATGCTAAATTCCATCCTGATCTGCCACACAGGTGGCAGGTACCCAGGTACTTGGGCCATCACCTGCTGCTTCCCAGCTGGCTCAGAAGCAAAGTAGCCAGCTCTTCAACCAGCACTCAGATATGGAATGTTGTCATTAGTAGTAGTGGTTTAACCTGCTACACCACAACACTGGCTTATTATTTTTAATTTTTAAAAGAAATCCAAATGAATTAAATAGTCTTAGAGACATTGCTGGTGGCCAAGTCATAGCTTTTCTTTTGTTGTTGTTGTCGTTGTCCTAATAGAAACACTATTTTACTCAAGTCATCAAAGTGCCCATTATAAATGTTCCACTCCTTACAAAATCTGCAGTTGGTGTGGCCTGTGAACAGAAACCTGTGGCTTAGGATTCCCTAGAAGTCCTTTATTCCTGGCAAACAGCTGCTTGGTGTTGCTTTTTCACCCTGTGGATTCCTACAAGTGCAGTAGCCATCCTGCAGCTCCAGTGATAAAAAGGCCATGCTGTGCTGCCCAGGACCACACTGGCTATGCCCAGACAACATGGAGTCCTTAGTCAGAGGCCTGGCAGGCCACAGATGGCTCATTGCATAAGGATGCTGGGAGGAGGATTTCATTGTTGAAGGGTGTACTATATGTTAGGAACACATGGTTAAGAGAGGGCCCTATATCCTGGGGAAGCAACAGCCAGGAGAAATCAACAACCACATGACTGGGAGACATCGGCAGCCTTATGGAGAAGACTCCCGAATGACAGCAGCCTTCCTATTAGGAAGCAGCCAAACTGTGAGGGTCTATACAGGAGGAATTAGAAAGCTAATTATTTTAACCTTCCATCTCCAGTTGGTGGTACCCACCCCACTGACCAAACCCAACTGGAGGTCAGAGGGTAAAGAGTAAGTGTAACAGTGCATTCAGGTCAAAACCTCAGGACACCAAACAGGTTGGAGAAGGGCAGAGGAGAGATATATACAAGCCATTGGAAAATGTCCTTGCACAGCATAAAAATAGGGTCCCCTGTCATTGAGCTGTCCAGCAGCCTGACACATATACAGATGGCACCAAGTAAGGAGCCCAACTCCCTACTGGCCTTCAGAATTACCATTCCTGAACTAACTGCTGCTGTAAGATTCCTTTGTTACGTAAGAAAAACAAATCTTAATGTGGTTAAGTCACATCAGCCCACTACAGTTGTATGTCTGAGTGCAATGCTGTGTGATGTATAGTCATGTGTCACATAAGGATGTTTACAGTCCTGCGCCGTGGTGGTCCCTTAATATTGTTATAGAGCTGATGGCATGGCTGTGCTGACCTCTTAGAGTAACACACTCCTTAAGTGTCTGTGGTGAGAACAGTGATATGAAAGAGCAGCTCATTCAGTTATATAGAGTTCATACTTGGTAATCAGCCTCTATGTTCCTGCCTAATGAATTTACTATACTGTACTTCTTATTGTTACCTCAGAGCTATTCCTTCTACTTGCTAACGAAGTTCTCTGTAACACAGCCCTAGGCAGGTCCTTTAGATGTCCAAGTACTGTCATCATAGGAGATGACAGCCCCATGCCTGTTACTTCCTCTGCAGACTTGCCAGGAGGAGATATGGGGGTGGGGAGGAACACAGTCAACATCCTAGTCTGGGCTACTACCAGTGCTTGTATCTTTGCTTTTAACAAGGTTTAAAAAGTAAAACACACACATACACAGTAACAACTCAAAAACCCAACAGGCTCTATGAGATAGTTTCAGTGTGTCTCGGGGGGACCATCCAGATTTGTGTAATATATGACGTTCATACAACAATAAAATTACCATTGATGCATTCCTTAGAACATGTTGTTATGCCACATATGTCGCATTTAAAAATTCTATTTATTTGAGGGGCCGAGAGAGACAAGGAAAGCGAATTTCCTTCCACTAATTTACTCTCCACATTCCAACAACAGCTGGGGCTGGGCAAGGCTGAGGGAAGACACTAGCCACTGAATCCAGGTCTCCCGAGTAGGTGGCAGAGACCTAGCAACTTGAGCCATCACCACTGTCTTCCAAGCTGCACACTGGCAGGAAGCTGGTAAGGGGAGTGGAGTCAGGACTTGAACTTGGGTACTCCGATATAGCAAATGGGCATCCCATGTGGCAGCTTAAGTACTGTACCAGATGCCCATACTTCACATACATTTTAAATTCGTGCTATCACTGTTACCTAAATGTGCACCTGAGACCTTATACTCGGTGTACACCTTGTTGAAGCTTCATCACTTCTTGCCCACAGGTCCTGCCTTGCCTGAGTGTGAAACTTTTAGATAAGATCACAGATAAAAATCTATTAAGGCTGATAAGCGTGTCTGGAAGGAAAGGAAGAAGAGCTCTGCGGTAACCAATGAATCACTACTACACTAGGTCAGGCTGATAAGACTTTTTATCCCCTTTGTCTCCTTGGTTGGTCTCCAAGATCACACGCAAGGGCCAGAAATGACTGCAGCAGCCTTCATTCCCTGTCGCATGCTTGGTGAGCTCTGCTTCTCCTTACCAAGCTGAGCGTCGGCACCCTGCCACTCTCTGGCCTGCCAGCAATTCAGGCTCCCTTACCTGAGCCTTGGACCTGGTTCCTGCTCTCCCACTGCTACAACTGTTTTTCTTCCTTGGTTGTTTTGTTGATTTCCTATTCCGGTAACTGGCTTAGGTACTATCTGGCCTAGAGCCATGCCTTGCTCTTGCCAGCTGCCCTCCCCCGCCACTATCCTTAAGCCAGGATCTATGGCTGGAGCCTTGCCATCCATGCACAGACCTCTCAGACACCACCTGCTTCACTCATTTCAAGAGCAGAACCTGCCCAGGCTCTCTGCTATTGAGTTCCACCCACCTGCTCATACTCCCCGAAAGCTCTTCTCAGACTGCTGCCAATAAGCCCTTGGCTCAAGTCCTGAGATGAGATTAAGGTCTCCTTTGGCCATTGTGAATGACACTCCTGGCTGAAAACACTGCACGCGGTCTGCAACCTCTGGCACCAGCTCCTTGTTGTAGCTCTGACTCCTTAGTGGCCTGCAGCGCAGAAGGATGAAATGAAACAGTGGTATTGTCACTAAAATAAAGGCAGTGATGTCAAAATAAAACAAAACACTAGTGACTAAAAGCTAACAACATGCCAAGCACTGCATAAGTTCAGCACAGTCCTTGCTTTACCTGGCCACAGCACAACCCTAAATGCCTTTGTCTTAGTAAGGCACACCAGTTCCCAGCAAAACAGTTGAGACGTCAGTCACTGTGAGCAGCTGCATGAGTCCAACTTCATTACTAGCTTTTTTCTCCACAAGGTAACTGTGGACGTAACGATGAATGACAAAGCCCTTGACTTCTTTCACAGTCTGTTGGTGAATGGTCACTAGGCCTGTGTTATTCAGCTTCTATATTTTGTTTAATCCAAAAGGATAACCTTAAAAAGTTTTACTGCCATTTTTACAGGCAAAGAATCTGAGGTCAAAGAGGAAAAAACATTCAGCCAAGGGCATACAGCTAGAAAGTGACTCACTGGCTGCATCCCAAAACCCAAGACTCCGTTGTGACATGTGGGCATCCCAAATGGTGACTTAACCAGTAGTGCTACAATGTCTTTTCTTTCCAACGGATCTTCCTTGTGGTGCACAATCATGAGCAAGTCTTGTCATCCAAAATGATTTTCTCTGCATGCTTTTTCCTACAGCTGCTGTTGTTTTCTCACAGGAAGTCTCTCTAAAGAGTAGACACTATGTGTTATCTGTATTTCCTTATTATCCATTCTTTGATTCTCTCTGGCTTAGTCCCTTCCACTCCTCAGAAAGTGTTTTAATCTGGGGCAGAAATAACAATAGCCTCTAAATTTACAAATCTAGCAGATTTGTAATCTGTTCGCCCTCCTACTTGAACCCTATGGCTTTTTGATAACCACTTCTGCTTCTGTGAAAGTCCCTTCGCCTGTGACTTCTCTGACATCCTCACCTAGTTCCCTTTTGACCTCTGTGGCTACTCAACCTTTTTCTCTCGCTGTCTTTCTCTCTCTCACACACACACCCCATGAAAAAACAAGAGCTATCACATTGGTATAGCATGCCAATCATCTGCCCATGCACTGACACGCCATTTGGGTGCTGGCTCAAGTCCTACTTGCTCCACTCCCAATCCAACTTCCTGCTAAATGTCTGGGGAAGAGTAGAATATGGCCCATGATCTTGGGGTCCCTTCACCCATGTAGGAGACCCCAGTGAAACTACTGATTTCAAACCAGCTCAACTTAAATTATTGCAGCCATTTGGGGAAGTAAACCAGGAGATGGAACATCTGTCTCCCTTCTTTCTGTAACTGACTTTCAAGTAAAAAGAAATAAATCTTTTAAAATGAAATAGAGCTCAACATGATGGCTCAGTGGCTAAAATCCTCCCCTTCTATGCTCCAGGATTCCATGTGGGTGCTGGTTCATGTCCTGGCCACTCCACTTCCCAACCAGCTCCCTGTTTGTGGACTGGGAGACCAGTTGAGGACAGCCCAAGGACTTGAGGCCTTGCACCTGCATTGAAGACCCAAAGAAACGCCCAGTCACTGGCTTTGGATCACTACAGTTCTGGCTGTTGTGACCACTCGGGGAGTGAATTAGCAGACAGAAAATCTTCCTCTCAGTAAATCTGCCTTTCCAATAAAAAAAAGAAGAAGAATTTCATCAGCTGGTTTACTCTGCAAATAGCTGCAACAGCTAGGTCTGCGTCAGGAAGAAACCAGGAACCTGGGACTCCATCCAGGTGTCACTCATGGGTGACATGTTTAGCTGCCCTCCCAGGTGCATCAGAGGAAGCTGGACTGGAAGTAGGGTAATTGGGACTCTAGTTTGGGATGCTAGCATTACAAGCAAGCAGGTGACTCGAATCTGTGGGACAGTCTTTCTGGTTCCTTCTCTTCCATTTACTGCAATAACATGTCCTCCCCAACACTCCTCTCCCTCCCTCTTTGCTTCCCTTTCTACACTTTTCTCCTAGGAGACAGCTTCCATTCCTGTAGTTTCAAAGACTGAAACTTCCTGAGAGTTGAAAATCTGCTATAGACTTATCACTGAAGGACAGGCAAGCCAAAGTTTCTCTTGTAAATAATCTTTCCTGTTGAATAAAGCATCACATCAGAGACTGGACCTAAACACCCCACCAATATGTTCAATTCCCAACCCACACAGCCTGTGAATGAGACCTTATTTAGATGTAGGACCTTTAGAAGTAACATAATAGGAGACCATAGGATGAAAGAATTTCTTATTTAAAAAGGTAGAGAATTATTTCTCAAGGAAACTTAAATGGTTGAAAAGGAAGAGAGGCAGCCAGAGAGGCAGCTGAAGGGTTAGGGGGGAAGTGAGTTAAGCCTAGGAGAGAAATTGAAACAGAAAACTAAGAAAAAAGAATTTGGGGTCTCATGCCATCTAGCCCGTGTTGCAGCTTTCCCACAAGTTCTTGGGCCCTTTAGTAGGGGTTTCCCCCCTTGATGTTCTTGTATCTGTTTTATACCCAAATTTAATTGTGTATATTCAAATATGCCACATGCTATGGGATGCACACAGTAAAAAGGCTACTTTAGTGAAGCAAATGAACACATCCATCATCTCACACAGTTGCCCACTTTCAGTGTAAGTGGCAGATCACATACATGCTCTTGGCATGAATTTCATAGACTCCACCTAATGTAACTGTATGCATCTGTGAAGAGTGATTTTGCGCAAGATCACCAGGCAACTGGCTTTGCTGAGGGTTACAAAGCTGCTAGCAGAAACACTGTTGTCTTGTGGTTAGGCTGGGCTGCAGGAGGCATACCCATGTAGGAATCCTAACCTCTATTATTTTAATTTTCTTTAGAAAATGAAGAAGCAGGAGAGTGAGGCAGAAACGAGGGTGTGGTAAGAAAGTACTCCATAGTTGGGTCACTGCTCAGATGCCTAACTCTGATCCAGGGGCCATGAACTCATCCAGACCTCCCTGTGGTGGACAGAGACCCAAGTCCTTGAACCACCCTGCCAGCTCCCAGGGTGCACTTCAGCACGGAGCTGGGCCAGGAAGGAAGGGGAACAGGAACTTGAACCCAGGCACTGTGAGACAGCAGACCAAGAGCCTGCCCCCTCTATTCTTTTGTGTCCACCAGATAATCAGGTTCCTTCTCTGTGCTCAGGTGGGCCCAGCTCACTGGATGGGTGGAAGGATGCTATGCCGGGCAATGGAGGGCTAAAGGTTGTTAGCTAGAAGTAAAACAGAAATCTACACATACTCTCCCACCCAAATCAAACCAAACCCTTTCCGTGGCTCACGGTTCCCAGTGTGGCTCCCCGACCTACACTGTGCTGCGGTCCTAGCCACAGCTCCGGAGGGCGCGCGGCGTCCCTTCACGCCCCTCAAGCTGTCTGGGTTAACCCCGCGACGCCCTCCCTCGACCAGCCAGACAGGCCGGGTCCTTTTCCCGCGTTCGGGGCTTCGACTGGGATTTCCCTCAGGTCGTGTCTGAGGTAACTGCCCCGAGGGTGTGATACTCGACAGACTACCCCCGAGGATACTACTCTTTGGCAAACAGTCTTCCCCCGCCAGGACGCGCGTTGCGCCGGGCTCCCCGCCTGCTCCCCGCGAGCGGCCCGGGGCTCCCCGAAGGCCCCTCACCCCGCGGGCCGGGGCGCGCAGGTCGGGCGGCCGGCGCCCGCCGTCACGTGACGGCCCCTCGCGCGCACAGCTGGAGGCGCCGGGAGCCGCGGCGCTGGAGCGGGCGCGGAGCATTGTGGGGCAGAGGGGCGGGGGTTGGGAAGATGGCGGCTCCCAGCCTCCTCAACTGGAGGCGGGTTTCTTCCTTCACGGGGCCGGTCCCCCGCGCCCGACACGGACACCGGGCCGTGGCCATCCGGGAGTTGATGATCATCTTCGGAGGGGGCAACGAAGGCATCGCGGACGAGCTGCACGTCTACAACACCGGTAAAAGGCGCCGCGACGGTTCCTCGGCCCCGCCTGCGGGAGCCGCTGAGGGGGAGGGGAGACGAGGCGGCGGCCGCGGCCCTGACAGCTGTCACCGTCCGGTCACCGCTTCCTCGGGCGGCGGGGACCGCGGCTCGGCCGAGGGCTGAGCGGCTCGCCGTGGTGTCTCGGATGGCGGCTGTTTCCTCGGGGCCCGCGGGAGGAACGGCTTCCGAGCGGAGCGCGCAGGTCCCCAGGTCACCCCCCGCCCCGGCCCTTGCCGGCCGACGGAGGCCACCGGGGCGCTTTCCACCGGCCCGGGCCTCTCCCGGAGGTCTCCCTGCGGGGTCTTCGCATCCTTTTTCTGACAAAAACGACAATACTCCTCCCTTCCCCCCCGTCCTCTCCCCCCGCCACACACCTAAGCGCCTTCTAAAGCTGCCCCGGACTTGCCTTCCTTGGGAGGAAGGGGGATCATGGAGGAGGGGAGCGGGAAAGCGAGAGGCCTTCTGGTACTTTCGCTCAGGGTCTGACCGGGAGCGGCGTGGAGCCACCCGCTGAGTAACGCTCTGGTCTGGCAGCGACGCGCGGCCTGCCGCCTGCACCTGCAGCTGTGTGTGGGGACGCTGAGCGAGAAGGGGGCTCCCTGGGGCTGCTGGAGCTGGAGCACGACCCCAAATGCCCGGGCCGGGGAGGCCCTGGCCTTCGGGCACCTCCGTGGAGTAAGAAGGAGGTTCCAGAAACGAAAAGGGAATTCCAGTTTCCCCACTTGGTCAATACTGCAGCTGTCAGCGATGTGTTTCCCTAGTGTGAGACTAAGCTACTGGATTCTGTCTGGGTCGGCTCCGTGACCGCTAACTTTGCTTTGACACGACAACTTCATCACAGTGGCCGTTTAAAAGTTAAACACTTCAGTAGAGGAAATTTTATGTCTTTCAGCTCCTCCTCCTCCTCCTCGTGGTGCCTCAGCCTATGAAGTTCAAGTTGTTTGATCGAGTGTGTAAAAATGCTGGGCTTTGGGAGCAGTTAGACTTGATTTGAATCTTGCTGTGCCAGGTTACTTAGGAACAGCACTAATTACCAAGGTTTTTAAGCCTCAGATTTTTAATTTGTACATGTCATGAAACTAAGACTTAAATGCTGTGAGTAAAAATTTTTTTTTCCTACAATAGCAGTACTTTTGGCAAATTGAAGCAGGTGATTGACACCTGCCGTGTCCATTGTAAGATATTTCACTGCATCCCTGACTTTTCCCTACCAGAGGCCATTCCCATCCACACTACCAGCTGTGACAGCTAAGAATGTTTCCAGACCTTGCCAAGTGTGTCCTGAGGTGGAGGTGGGGAGAACCATCCCCCCATTTAGAACCACTGATAAAGCTAATCCAGTGGAAGCGCATACTGTAGAATGTGTTGGTTTTTATAATTGCTTTTGCTTTTATTTTGGCAACTAGTTACAAATCAGTGGTTCCTGCCAGCTGTTAGAGGAGACATCCCTCCAGGCTGTGCTGCCCATGGATTTGTCTGTGATGGTACCAGAATATTGGTATTTGGGGGAATGGTTGAGTATGGAAGATACAGCAATGAACTGTATGAGTTACAAGTAAGTGCATTTACAATTTATTTTTTATATTGAAGCTTTAATAAAGACACTGCTCACAGTTGTTCACAAGATTGCAAATATTTGATTCACATATTTAAAATAATATAAGCTTCACATTATATGGCTGCAAAGAGGGGTAATTCCACATCAGAAGTCAGAGTGTGTAATGTGAGTCTTTTTCCCTGCCCAGTATGACATTGTGACGTAAGGTATCTGTTACTTAGCATCAGTTGTATGTGTTATATGCTTAATATCTTGATGCAGTTGTTCAGCTTTGCCCTGCTGCACAGGGCCAGAGCGCGGGGAGGACTTGGGACTACAGAGTGCAGGTCCTGCCTCCAGAGATTCTGTGTCGCTGTCATCTGCTGGGAGCTGAGCATCTGCGTGTCTGCCACATTCCCAGCTCAGGCTGCTGGTTTCCACACCATCCTTTGAAAACCACTGCTTTTTTCTCATAGTAATTGAAGTGACTTTTTTCCTCTTGGCAGCACATACAAAACAGATTCATAAAACATCTGGAAATTTTACTGCTAATGAACCAGACCTGGGGTCCTAGTTCACTTTTCCTCCTGATCTGCTCATGTGCTTCCAGGCACATGTGGATGGGTTATACCTGTTTACAGATGACCCATTTCACAAATAGTGTAAATATAGAAATACCTATGGCCATGAAGGTAATGGGAACTCAGTTACTGTGGGCTGTCATTGCCGCTTCCCAAGATCTACATTGCAAGACGTTGGAGTCAAAACCCAGGGCTGGGAATCAGACTCAAGCATTGATGTGAGATGTACGTGTACTAGCTATTTATGCTAAACACTTATTCCAAGAGAGAAAGAGAGCATTTACTTTTTCATTTGGAGAAAACTTAGTGTTTATTATTATTATTAGCTTAATATGCCATTGTGAATTCTGTAAATTTGAAAGACTAGCCTTCATTTTTATTGGCACATATATTTTAATTCCAGAAGTTAGCTACTTATTTGTCATTTATTCAAAAAGTGTTTTATTGGTTTCTTCTTACTCGATCTGGATTAAAATGTGTTGTTGTGATGTGTACTGTTGACAGTGCTGGAGCTTCCTTGATTTTTGCCTGTGTGTGCTTATGTTCTTTTTTAGGCAAGTCGTTGGTTATGGAAAAAAGTGAAGCCCCATCCCCCTTCTTCTGGGTTGCCTCCTTGTCCTAGGCTTGGACATAGCTTCTCTTTATATGGGAACAAATGCTATCTGTTTGGTGGCTTGGCAAATGAAAGTGAAGATTCAAACAATAATGTTCCTAGGTATGGTCTTTCTTAGATCAAATATTTATTTTATGATATGGATTAAGGAGATTTGATTTCTTCCATCCTGAATTAGTAAAAGGGAGGACGCTTACTGAGCAAACTTGTGTGTTTTTTTAGTCCTTGGAATATTTTTTTTAAAACTGTTTTTTCTAGTCAAAAGTCATTTTATTAAATTGATGTTAGCATAATTACATTTATCATTAGATTTGTATATACTGAAACATAATATATTTATGTTATAAATGATAAAGAAAAAATAACAGGATTATTTTATAATTAGGTTTCCTTGGAAATCAAACTTTTTAAAATAGATTTTATTTGAAAGGTAGAATTACAGAGAGAAGGAGAGATGGAGAAACAAAGAGATCTTCTGTATGCTGGCTCGCTCCCTAAGCGGCTGAAATGGCCAAGGCACGCCTGCTCTGCCAGCTGCATTAACAAGACTTGAACCGGTGCCTTTATGTGTTGCTGGCATTATCAACAATGGCTTAACCTGATGCACCACAACCCTGAGCCGTTTTTGGGAATTTGCTGACAAAAATATGGCTATTAGATGAAAGTTGTAATTCCATATTTCATAGACAAAGCTGTTACAGTAGGTCAAAGCTGACAAATAATTTTAAAAATCTTTTTCTCAGAGCCGTCACCTTGGCTTAGTGAGTTGGACCTCTGCCTGTGGTGCCAGGACCCCATGTGGATGTTTGTTTGACTCCCAGCTATTCCACTTCCTGTTCAGCACCTGCTAGTGTGCCTAGAAAGGCAGTGAAGGATGACCCAAGCCGGTACGCTGCTGCATCCACATGGGGCCCTGAATAGAGTTCCTCGTTTCTGGCTTCAGATCGACCTAGCCTTGGCTGTTGTGGCCATTTGGGGAGTGAACCAGCAAATGCAAGATCTTTCTGTCTCTCCTTTTTTTCTGTAAATCTTTCTAATAAAGATTAAAAAAAAAAAAGATTTTAAAATTTATTTATTTATTTGCTTATTTATTTATTTTGGAAAGGCAGATTTACAGAGAAAAAGAGAGGCAGCAAGATCTTCTATTTACTGGTTCACTCCCCAAATGGCCATTGTGGCCAGGGCTGAGCTGATATGAAGCTAGGAGTCAAGAGCTTCTTCTGAGTCTCCCACCTGTGTGCAGAGTCCCAAGGCTTTGGGCTGTCTTCTACTGCTTCTCCGCGCCACAAGCAGGGAACTGGATGGGAAGTGGAGCAGCCAGGATACAAACCGATGTCTATATAGGATCCTGGCGCTTGCAGGCAGAAGATTAGACAATGGAAACATTGTGCCAGGCCCCAAAAAAATCTTCCTAAACAGAATTAATCACTAGCTGTTCTCTGTTAGGGTTGGATTTTGATCACAGTGTTATTACAGCACTTGGATTTCGGATAGTGTGAGTCTAAAGACTTTTTTTTTTTTAAAGACTTATTTCATTTATTTGAGAGACAGTTACAGAGAGAGAGAGGAATCTTCTATCACTGGCTCACTTCACAAATGGGCACCATGGCCAGGGCCTGCCACAAAAGGCTGTTTTCTGATTCACACTTGCCTGTGTATCCTTCATAGCAAGGAATCTAAGCCTCTTTGCTTCCCTGTGATTGAATACTTTTCTACCAGTTTCATTGTGATGGCAAAATAAAATCTTTGGTGTAGATTTCACGGCACTTTCAAGTTGTGTTTTGTATAGAATGGAATCTTCATAGTGTATAAAGGTTTGTTCTTCTGGACTTTAGCTTTAAAAGGTAGAGTGATAGGAGAGATAATTGATCTTGTACCCACTAATTCACTTCCCAAATGCCCTCACAGTTGGGGCCAACAACAGACCCTGCGTTTTCATCTGGGATTCCCAGGTTGGTGAAAGGGACTGAAGTACTTGAGCCATCACCTGCTGCCTCTCTGAATTCATTAGCAAGAAGCTAGACAGCAAGTGGAAGAGCCAAGAGTTGAATTGGTACTCTCTGTAGGATGTGGGTATCCTGTGCGGTGACTTCATCTGCATCTCAATGTTCATTCTGTTGTAATAATTTTTTAAGGTTTTTAATTTTAATCTTTATTACAAAGGTGAGGGGTTTGCAGGCCCAATTGGGTCTCTGATTAGGATGTGGAGGGTCAGAGGGAGGGGAAGGTGGGTAACATAAATGCTTTTGTGTCTTCTAAATCAGCACCAGGAGACAGACGTTTGATGTCACCTTAGAGACCCTGGTGGGGGGAAAGAATGTGCCAAGGGTGTTATTTGAGTGGTCTTAATTGTTCTGAGAAGTTGTTGGCTCTGTTGCACCAGAAGTGAGAAATTTTAAGGGTTGTTGGTTGCCCCTGACTACCTCAGGGTACTCATTGACCTGCGTGCTTGTTGTAGAACCTATTCTGTAGTTTTGTTCAGTCTGCCCTTCAGTCTGCCCTTCTTTCCATACTTTGAAGAGGTACTCAAAGCCTTCTGTTAGCTTAGAAGGGCTGGCTGTGCATCTGTTTGCTCTGTTCTTGCACAGGAGTCAGCAACTGAGGTGGCCCACTGCTTCAGCATGTGCTCTGGAATTGGACCTTATGTCTATGTAAATTTTTCTGAGGTCTGGACTTGGACATAGCAGTCTAGTTGGGGATTCCCCTAAGAAACCCCACCTGGAAGGTCGTCAGACCTGGCTCTCATGTGTGCTGGCCAAGCCAGCCCCTGCACCAGCCCACACACTTACTCGAGAGTACCTGTGCCTGGCCAGTTCCACCCCAAACCTCAAGTCTCCCACAGATCACCTAGCCCAACCCAGTCTCCTGCCCTAGGCAATTTGTGTTCCCCCCCTGGGCAGATACTGTAGCCCTGGGCAGACACTCTTGCCTTAAGTTTCCCCAAGTCTTTTGTTTTGCTTTGCTTTGTTTTAAAGAATAGACAGTTATGCTGGCACGTTGGTGTCGTTAGCACAGAGTTGGCATTAACCAGCCCAGAAGTTTAGCCAGGTATCAGTTGCTTTTCTCCCAGCAGTTGCCTATAGTTGGGCTAGGTTTTATAGTTTTAACTCTTACATTTCTATCCATGAAATGTTACATTTCTGTTCATGAAATGCACATTCAAGTTCATCTGAGTTAAATATTATGTGTGAGATGGTAACAGTCTAAATTCATCTTTTTACATATCAATATCCAGATGTTCCAACACCATTGCTTGACAAGACTACAGTTTCCTTAGAAATTGGATTGGCATCTTTGTAGAAAAACAGTTAACCACAAATGTAAGAGTTTCTTTCTAGACTGTCTGTTCTGCTTTTATTTATTTATCTGTGTTGAAGATCCAGACTGGGCTCCTAGTCCATGGCTTCTACCTGGTTCCTAGCTTGGTCCTCTCTCAGCCTTGACTGTTGTGAACAGTTGCGGCATGAGATAATAAGTGTTTCCACCCACCAAGTGTGTGTGTGTGTCCATGCTTTTCAAACACGTTTCAGAGATACTTATTTCCCCCCACCTGCCCTCACCGTGTCCCTCCTGCCTTTCCAACAAGTTAACCATTTAAGAGATACTTATTTCCTCCCACTGCCCCCACTGTGTGTGTGTTTCCCTGCCTTTCAAACAAGTTGACCATTTAAGAGATATTAATTTCAGAGACAGAGAGCTCCCATTATTATTATATTTCCAACATTTATTTTCTTATTTATAATGTAAGGTTACATCAAAAAGCTCATGGAAAATATATTTTGAAAAGCATATATATATATACACACATACACACACATATATGATCATTAGTACTTTTTATTATATATACACACATAAACATGTATGATCATTAGTGTTTTTTTTTTACCATACTGTCTTTTTGGGTAATCGGATGCTATTCTGAGTATGTTAGGATTATCTTAGCTCTGGAAAAAAAACATAATTAGGGATATCAACCAAGGGTGTGGCAAGCTCTCCATTTTTTTTTTTTTTTAAAGATTTATTTTATTTTTATTGGAAAGGCGGATATACAGAGAGGAGAAACAGAGAGGAAGATCTTCTGTCCAATGATTCACTCCCCAAGTGAGCGCAACGGGTCGATGCTATGCCGATCCGAAGCCAGGAGCCTCTTCCAGGTCTCCCACGCGGGTGCAGCTTTCCAAAGCTTTGGGCCGTCCTTGACTGCTTTCCCAGGCCACAGGCAGGGAGCTGGAAGGGAAGCGGGGCTGCCGGGATTAGAACCGGCGCCCATATGGGATCCCGGGCGTGCAAGGCGAGGACCTTAACCACTTGCGCCACCGCGCCGGGCCCTCCATTTTTTATTATACTGAAAAAATGTAAACCCTTGCATTTTAGATAGAAATTTCTGATAAGTGTCTGGATTTATTATGAAAATAAATAAAAGGCTGTTTGTCTTTTCAGTTTTATTATTGATCTGCTTAGGTTTTCTGTTTTCTCTTGAGTCATCTTGATAATTTATGTTTTCCTTGAAAAATCACCCATTTATCTAGATCTTTTGATTTATTTGTAAAAGTTATAAGATGGGGCCCAACATGGTGGCTCAGTGGCTCTATCCTCGCCTTGCAAGCACCAGAATCCCATATGGGTGCTGGTTTGTGGCCTGGCTGCTCAACTTCCCATCCAGCTCCTTGCTTGTGGCCTAGGAAGGCAGTAGAGGATGGCTCAAAGCCTAGGACCTTGCACTCACGGGGAGACCCAGAAGAAGCTCCTGGCTCCTGGCTCTGGATCAGCTCATCTCTGACCATTGCAGCCACTTAGGGAGTGAACTAGTAGATGAAAGATCTTTCTCTCTGTCTCTCCTTTCCTTCTGTAAGTTTGTCTTTCCAATAAAAATAAATAAATCTTTTTTTTTAAAGTGTTAAGATGATTCTATCTTTAAAATTGCTCATTTTCCGTATTCCTAAATGTACATATCATCTTTTCTAAATTAGATTTGCCTGTTTATTTTTTCATTGAATTTTTTCCCCACTGAACCCTTTGTTTTCATTTTTTAAAAATTATTTATTTTACTTGAAAGAGTTATAGAGAGAGCTTCCGTGCAGTAGTTCACTCCCCAGATGATCGCAGTGCACACATCTGGGTTTTTCTGAAGCTGGGTACCAGAAGTTTCTGTGTCTGCTGTGTGAGTACAGGGGCTTAAGGCTTTGAGCACCTTCTGCTGCTCCCCCGGCCAGTAGCGGAGAACGGGATTGAAAGTAGAGCAGAGCTGCCTGTGTGGGTTACCAGTACCAACGGTAGGGGATTATTAACTGCTAGACCATCACACTGACACCTGTTAGTTTTATTGTTTATTTATCTTTAACTCTAATATTTCTTTCTCTTTTATTTTTCTAAGTATTTACTTATTTATTATCTGATTGACGGGTGGTAGTGGTGTCTTTCATCCACTAGTTCACTAATTAGTTGTCTAAAGGGCAGGCAAAAGCCAGGAACCTGGAATTCATTCTGAATCTCTCCATGTGTTGTCAAGGACATAAGCACTTGAGCCTCCCCGGGTGCACATTAGCAGGAAGCTGGATTGGACCTAGAGCTGGCATTCAAGCCCTGTGGTCAGGTTATGGGAGGCAGATGTCCTAAGTAACATCTTAATTGTTGTACCAAATGCCTCCCTGTCTAGTCTCTAGTAAATTGCTAACAGTTTGAATTTTGTTTTTTAACTTTTCTCTAACTTCTATTCATTTATTTTCATTTTTAGTTATGATTCATTTACTTTCAATGCCTGAAATCGCTGCACATTTTCCTTTAGCTGACTTTTGCCGTATCCCATAGTTTTTGGTATATTATTGTACTTTCCATTTAATCCAAAAGTAGCTTGGTAGAGTACCTTAGCTTTTTCTGAGCGGAAATTTTGTTGTGGTCAGAGACTGCTGTTTATGCGATTGTTCCTGCTTGAAGAGCTTATTTGTGGCTTTCACAGCAACATTTGATTTTTTTTTTTTGTAGGTGCTCAAAAAGGCCAAGAGTCCTTGAGTCAAGTTTGGGGACAAAGTTTTTTATTAAATCATTGTTTTAAATGATTCAAAGCTTTCTGAATTTGAGGGTGTGGGTGTGTCAGCAACATGCTAAAATCTCCAAGAATGATTATATATTGTGTTTTATTACTTTGTTTATATAATTTTCAGGCTGTAATCATTTTGGTGTAGACTTAGCTGTTATAAATAGAACTGACAGGTGCTGACACAATGACTTGGCTGCTTATCCTCCCCTTCTCAGCACTGGCATCCCAGAAGGGTGACTACACCACTTCCCTTCCAGCTCCCTGCTTGTGGTCTGGGAAAGCAGTGGAGGATGGCTCAAGTCCTCCGAATGCCTGCACCCCAGTGACAGACCTGGGAAAAGCTCCTGGATCCTGGCTTTGGATTGGATCAGCTCTGGTCATTGTGGTCATTTGGGAGCGAACCAGTAGATAGAAGATCTTTTGCTGTGTGTCTCTCCTTCTCACTGTAAATCTGTCTTTCCAGTAAAAAAGGAACAAATCTTAAAAAAAAAAAATAGAACTAACAACCAACATAAAGAGGTATAGCATTCTGTGTGTGTCCACTCTGATCGTTTTACAACTCTGCCATGTCAGTTGTTAAACAGTTTTAATAGCATCCTTGATCTTTTTAGCTTGTAATTAGATTCAGAGCCCTGTTTCTGTCATGTTCCCAGCTCTAATCAGAGATTGCCTTATTATAGGCACATTTTTCATTGCCTTCATATTTTGTTTAATATGTATTTTGCTTTTTTTGTTTGTTTGTTTCTTTCTGCTCTCCTGGCTTCTTGCCTTAAAAGTTTTGATGAGATTGAACAGTTGTATGTATGTATTTGTGTGTGTGCATGCCAGTGTCTCTGTGCATGTGTGTATACATTTGTATAATTTTTATGTCGTGTGAATTATCAATTTATAGGCTGTTGATGTCTTTTGTGTGAAAGACTGTTATCTTGTTTTTTTACAGCCCTTTTTTCTGTGATGTAGATAGATTTTCTTTTCAGTTCATCCTTTTAACATTGCTTATGGTGGATTTTTGTTTAAAATTAATAGTGTGTTTCCGTGTGCTGTTATTTGGTTATTTTTCCTTTCTTTTGATTTTCCTTTAACTCTTCAGTAATTCAAAAATCAGATAAGCTAATTTCATGTTTTCTTTAGTTGCTTAGAGGTTAACATAAACATTTAAATCAAGAATACCCTGTCATTCTTGAGAATAGGTATTGTTTTTACCCTTAGCATTCTTTTGTTACCTATTTTGTCTGTAAGTTCTATATTCTTTTTTTTTTAAAAAGATTTATTTGTTTATTGGAAAGTCAGATATACAGAAAGGAGGAGAGACAGAGAGGAAGATATTCCATCTGATGATTCACTCCCCAAGTGAACATAACGGCTGATGCTATGCTGATCCAAAGCCAGGATCCAGGAACTTCTTCCAGGTCTCGCACGTGGGTGCAGGGTCCCAAAGCTTTGGGCCGTCCTTGACTGCTTTCCCAGGCCACAAGCAGGGAGCTGGATTGGAAGTGGAGCTGCTGGGTTTAGAACCAGCGCCCATATGGGATCCTGGCGCATTCAAAGCGAGGACTTTAGCTGCTAGGCCATGCCACCGGGCCCTAAGTTCTATATTCTTGAATCTTGTTATAGGTATAATGATAGTAAGGAATCAGCTTTTTTTTTTTTTTAAGATTTATTCCCATTTGAAAAGCAGATTTTACAGAGAATAGGAAAAATACCAAGAAGGTCTTCATTTGCTGGCTCACTTGCCAAATGACTACAAGGCCCAGTGCTGACCTTATCCAAAGCTAGGAGCTAGGAGCCAAGAGCTTCTTCTTCTTCTCCCATGTGGGCAGAGGGTCCCAAGGACTTGGGCCATTTTCTGCTGCTTTCCCAAGGCTATAATCAGGGGGCTGATTAGAAGTGAAGCAGCCAGGAAATGAACTTGTGTCCAAATAAGATGCTAGCACCACAGGGCAGAGGGTTAGCTAGCTGTGCCACCGTGTCAGTCCCAGAAGTTAACTTCTTTGTTTTTTAATATATATATTTTTTTTATTACAAAGTCAGATATACAGAGAGGAGAGACAGAGAGGAAGATCTTCTGTCCGATGATTCACTCCCCAAGTGACTGCAACGGCTGGTGCTGCGCCATTCCGAAGTCGGGAACCAGGAACCTCCTCTAAGTCTCCCACGTGGGTGCAGGGTCCCAAGGCTTTGGGCCATCCAAGACTGCTTTCCCAGGCCACAAGCAGGGAGCTGGTTGGCAAGTGGAGCTGCCAGGATTAGAACTGGTGCCCAAATAGGATCCCAGCGTGTTCAAGGCGAAGCCTTTTTAATGGAGAAGCTAAGCTACAACCATAGTTCACATCCCTTTAAATATAATCTTGAATTATTGCTTCTTTTACTAGTGTTTATCAATATATTCTTTCTCTTGTATTTCTTTCTCCTAATAACATCAGAGATCACTTCTTCAAAACAATTGTTTGGCTGAATTTTGAAGTTTGTTTATCCCAAGAAGTCATTTTGCTGAAAACTCTAAATATATCCATACAGATAAGAAATTGTTAGTTTCTTCTTCAAAAATATTTGTTTATTCATTTATTTTATTTGAAAAGAAGAAAGAAATATCCCATTCACTTATTCGTTCCCCAGATGCCTCAAACAAATGGGACTGAGTCAGTTTGAAGCTGGGAAGCAGGAACTCAGTTTGAATTTCCCAGATGGGTGGTAGAGACCCAAGTACTTGAGCTGCTTGCTGCCTCATAGGATAGCCATTAGCTGGAAGATGGAATTGGGAACAGAGGTGGAATTTAAAGTGACAATGTACAATTTTTCATGTCATAGTAAAAGGTTGACTGAACTCCTAAATGTGAAGGCTTGAATAGATAATAATGCCTCAAGTGAGGTTGTTGAAGGACATTCCCAGTGGGACCGTTACTCCTCACGCGTTCCTCTGTGAATAGTGGTTTTGTGGTAGTTGGGCTTGCTATATGGTGACTCACCATTCCGGAAATAAGTGAAGCTGTGTTAGCGTTCTGTGATCCAGCCTCAGAAGTCACCAAGTGTTGTTTTTGACGCCCTATTGTCAAGGCATCACAAACCAGGGTTAATTAAGAGGATTCCAGGTTCTGTTTTAAAACCTCACAATTGTCATGAATAAAGTTGTTCTTAATGTTGACGGAATTTAAAAAATTTCTTCTGTTTACCACTGAACGCCCAAGAGTGCTCAGTTATGTGACAAGTGTATGTATCATTTCTTTCCTGATATCCTAGATATTTAAATGATTTCTATGAGTTGGAGCTGCAGCATGGCTCCGGTGTTGTGGGTTGGAGTATTCCAGTGACTAAAGGAGTTGTGCCTTCTCCAAGAGAATCCCATACAGCAGTTGTATATTGCAAGAAAGATAGTGGAAGCCCGAAAATGTATGTTTTTGGAGGAATGTGTGGTGCTCGCCTGGATGACTTGTGGCAACTTGACTTAGGTAAGTTTAATTTGATTCATGTTCAGGAATTGGTTATGATTGATAAAGACAAATCTTTAAATGCTTTAAAATGTTTTTGATTATACTTAGATTTATAATTAGCACTTGAAGCCCGAAGGGCAGCTGAAATGTCATATGAATGGTTGATACCAATCAGATTGGACAGATGAGTATTTGACTTACAATATTGTAAGTTGGTTTGCTTTAAGTTGTCCTGGTGTATATTTATTGTCCTGTGTAATTAAAAATAAAAATAGTGGTTTTTAGTATCACCTTTCATGCTAAAAAGTATTGTTAGGGATAATTGTATATGATTGCTCTATCTATAGAATATATAGCATTAGCAGTATAATTGCTAGTCAGGGAACAACACTTAGATAGCTTCCTATGGTTTAAAGGAATTAAAGGAATCAATGATTGGAGTGTAGGTATGCCTTTTACGTTTGATTATCTTTTATACAATATGTTCTTATTTTAAATGTTAAAGCAACTAACATTGTTCTGCTAGTACACTCCACAAATGGCTGCAACAGCCAGAACTGGGCCAGGCTGGAAACGGGAGCCAGGAACTCTGCTGGATCTGCTGTATGGGTGGCAGGGATCTGGTAGTCTGGGCATCATTTCTGTCCTTAGGAACTTTAGTAGGAAGCTGAATTGAAAGCAGAGAAACTGGAACTTAATTGCGTACTCCAATATAAGATATAGGAGTACCAAGTGGCAGTTTAACCTACTGTGCTGTAACAGCTACCTTACTAACATTGTTTTTAATTCACAAAAAGTGGTACCCTAAGCGTACCTCTCCATTGCAGATACTTTCAAATATAGAGATTTTGGTTGGTAATTCATATTAGCTGTAAAAGTTTATTTTAAGGTAAGTTCAAATTCTTTTGGGAACATTTCTACTTTAGTCCTTTTTTATTTTATAACTATAGAAGTAGAGATATTTTTGTTGTTATTAGATCAATTTGCTAATATGTTTATTTTTGCTTTTAGAAACAATGTCTTGGTCAAAACCAGAAACTAAAGGGACAGTGCCACTTCCACGAAGCCTTCATACAGCCAGTGTTATAGGAAACAAGTATGATATCTTCTTGAGTTTTGCTTTTGCTTTAAAAAAAAAAAAAGATGCACAAAGAAAATTGATGCTGCTAATTTCTTGGCAATAGATTGCTTAATTTAATAATGTGCTTACCAAAGCCACAATGATTTGCCTGTGGAGGCTAACATACCTTCTGTGCCCTTTTGTTATCCTGCTGTCTTTTATGTATGTTTGCCTTCTTCACAGTAGTAACCCCAGAGTAGCTTTAGAGCAGTGTAAGGTCAGGCATTCTCAAGTGAATCTGTTCTCAGAAGCTCTGGCACACCTAACTCGCTGTTTTTGAATACGTTTGGTAACGCTTGGTCTGCGTGCAGGTACATGCTCTCTGTGATTGTATTTTGTGTGGCAGTCTTGTGGAGTTCTGGTTACAATATAGGCTCGTAATCAGATTATCTGAATTCAAGTCTCTGGTCTTTGTCATGTGTGACATGAGGCAAGGAAACGTAATCCATCTGTAAGTCAATTTCCTTACACATTCAGTGGAGATTAAAGTGAAATCTACTCTACAAGGTTGTAGTGAAGATTGCATGGATTAACACTTATGAAATGTTTAAAGCGTTCCATAATGTGTTGTGAGAACCCCTTAAATCTTAGCTGCTATTATCAACAAGTGCTCTTCTTTCTGTACCACTGGGCCACAGTTGGGTATATTTTTTAAGTAGAATTAAAGGAAATACTTACTAATATAGGCATTTTACTTTAATGCTTTAGGAAAGTAGTAGTTATAATTTATGACTTCACTAGCTCTTTTTAAACATATAGTCTCAAAACCAAAGGAATAGTTTTTACATTAAAAATTTTAATATACAGTTAAAAATTGATAAAAATAATTATTTGAGAGAGGCAGAGATTGAGGGCTTCCATTTGCTGGCTCACTTTTGCTTGCAGTGGCTGAAGCAGGGGTCGGGGCCGTAGGAAACAAACCAGAAACTTGGATCATAATGCAGGTCTCCTGTGTGGGTGGCAGGCACCCGGTTCCTTGAGCCATCACCACTGCCTTCAAGGTTCTGTGTTGCTGGGAAGCTGGAGTCAGGCCAGCCCAGACACCCTTGTGTAGGGCATTCACATCTTAACTACTAGGCTAAGCACCTACTCCAAGGGGCAACTTTGAAACACCAGAGCCCTTTAAAAAAAAGAAAAAATATATATGTATTTATTTTTAATGTAAAGGCAGGTTTAGAAAAAGGAGAGGCAGAAAGATGTTAAATTCACTGCTTGGTTCACTTCCCAAATGATTGCCAGCAACTGGAGTTGAACCAATCCAAATTTGGTAGCCAGGAGCTGCTTCTTGGTCTTCCATGCAGGTGCAGGGTCCCAGCTTGGACAAAGACTGACACCCATGTTGGATGCCATTGTTTGCAGGTAAAGGATTTGCTAGTTAAGTCATTACACTGGTTCCACTAGAACCCTTTCAAAAGGAATTTGGGGGTTGTCATGGTGGCACTTCAGGCTAATCTTCCTCCTGAAGTGCCTGTATCCCAAAAGGATGCTATGGTTCTAATCTCGGCTGTTCCACTTCTTATAAAACTCCCTGCTAATGGCTTGGGGAAAGCAGCAAAGGATGGTCCAAATTCTCAGGCCTCTGCACCCATGTTCCACACTTGAAAGAAACTCCTGGCTACCAGCTTTGTACTGGCTCAGCTTTGGCCATTTTGGTCATTTAGGAAGTAAACCAGAAGATGAAAGATCTCTCTCTCTTCCCCACCCCTCTCCCACCCCCACTTCTGTATCTCTGACTTTTAAATAAATAATAAATCTTTAATAAAAAGGAAAGTTTTTTCCATTGAAACCTCACTATGCAAGATGAATATTTAGAACATTTGTAGTTGGCATGAAATCATATGGGTCCTAAACTATTGGATACATCTGTTTTTCTTCAGCAATTCTGAGACTTATCTCAGGAACCTGGAAAGTCCAGACAAAAACCATTATTTACGTGCTGTCAGTGACCAAAGTTACATGAAACTTAATCCTCTCTGGTAATCATATACACACAATTCTGAGTTTGACTTTGGATGTCACATAGCTTATATAGGTGTTCTTCTTACTGAGATATCCATAGTATACTGCAGATATATTGCTTTCAACTGCATTATAATTGAAATATTCCTCCCCTTTGAGTAGCTTACTAGAGAGAAATAATTTTATTTCATATTATTGTTATGTAAAATTGTAAATTCTTGAAGCAATACTATTTTATTCATCTTATTTATTATCTTGACAGTGATAGATGAGTAAATAGTCCTGAAGCTTTGAGTAAAGGGAAAAAAATTTTGGTTCTTTTTAGTCTTTCAAACACAGAAGTAAAATTAAGTCAGCTACTTATATTTTTGCCTTTTTGTTGCCCAGGATGTACATTTTTGGTGGATGGGTTCCACATAAGGGGGAAAATATTGAGACTTCGTCTCATGATTGTGAATGGAGATGTACCAGTTCATTTTCTTACCTAAATCTAGGTGAGTCTCTTAAGACTTATTTGTTGAAATAGATTTCATAATAAAAAAAAAGATTTCTATCTTATAGTTTAAGAACAATAAATTACTCATGGATATTTCTGTCTTTTTAGATACAGCAGAGTGGACAACCCTTGTATCTGATTCTCAGGAAGATAAAAAAAATTCACGACCAAGACCAAGAGCTGGACATTGTGCTGTTGCAATTGGCACTCGATTGTATTTCTGGAGTGGAAGAGATGGTTATAAAAAAGCACTGAATAGTCAAGTTTGCTGCAAAGACCTTTGGTATCTTGATACTGGTAGGTAAGAGTATTAAATAAAATTTTTTCTTTAGGTAAATACTCACACAATAGCAAAGACTTGCTGTGAATGCCACTGCCTCTCTTTTCCATAAAATGAAGGGAAGAAACAATATATGTAGATAAACCCCTGTTTAGAGGAGTGTATTAATTCCACTCTCTTTGAAGGTTGATTGCATTTAGAGACCCCTTCCCGAAGAATAGAGTATGAAAGGAACACAAAATAAAAAAGGTATCTTTATAATAAAGAAACCTGGCAGACATTTCTTAATCGAGGAATTAAGGCCTCATTGTATATCTGAATTTCAATAAAAATCAATAAATCTTTTTTTTTTTTTTTTTAGTTTTTTGTTTTTTTAAGATTTATTTTTATTATTATTTTTCATTGGAAAGGCGGATATACAGAGAGGAGAGACAGAGAGGAAGATCTTCCATCCGATGATTCACTCCCCAAGTGAGCGCAACGGGCCGATACTATGCCAATCCAAAGCCAGGAGCCTCTTCTGGGTCTCCTACGCGGGTGCAGGTTACCAAAGCCTTGGGCCGTCCTCGACTGCTTTCCCAGGCCACAGGCAGGGAGCTGGAAGGGAAGCGGGGCTGCCGGGATAGAACCGGCGCCCATATGGGATCCCGGGAGTGCAAGGCGAGGACCTTTAACCACTTGCGCCACCTCGCCGGGCCCAATAAATCTTTTTTAAAAGGACTAAAAAGATGACTGGTTCATTAAAAAGATTTTAACTTCTAAAGAGAATTTTCAATAATATAGCTACAATTATGTAATATTTGATTTCTACCCAAAATCTACTTCTAAAATTAAACATTTTTTCTAAATCTAATGCCTCAGGTAATTTTGTACTGGATTGCCCATAGGTTTATTTTTATAAAAAACTAAGTAAATAGAATCAGAGCCTTAAGCTATCTTTATGTGTGGCCTACTATCCTGCTTACCTGAGTAGAGTTTTCTTCTGTGGGCAAATCGGTAAAATACTCAATGCTAACCTTTCCATAGCTTCACATCCACAAAAGGCTGTTTAAAACTTACTTGTGCTGTATCGTTATTTTCTTTAGAAAAACCGTCAGCACCATCGCAAGTGCAGTTGATCAAAGCTACCACAAACTCTTTCCATGTCAAGTGGGATGAAGTGCCGACAGTTGAGGGCTATCTTTTGCAACTGAACACAGACTTGCCATGCCAAGCTCCATCATTAGATTCTTCAGCAGCACTGACTATGCCGGGTAAGATAAGTTTCATGCATGTGCAATCATATGCTGCTTAAAAATATTCTGCCAAAAAGTGTATGTTTAGTCTTGCTTTAATCAGGCTTGATTGCCTGGTCTATGTAATATTTTTAATTTAAATTCTGAAACTTAGCTGTCTTACCATTATGCTGTAGTAGAAAATATAAACATGTAGGGTAGAATCTTTTTTCTGGAGTTTATTTTGATGTACTGTCTTAATGTGAAATATTGCTTTATTTTAGGATTTGTTTTTAATTAGCTTTCACACATATTTCAGTTTTTCCTCAAAGGTGTTTTTAAGTAAACAGGTAGTTGGAAAGTAAAACCAAATTAAACATATTCCTCCAAAGAGGAGTTCAGTCAACTTTTAAGCAAATTGTTAAGAAAAAAAAGCCTTTGATAAAGATAGTTTGGTTTTAACCTTTAAAATGTTAATTTTAAAAACTTAATTATAGTATATTGTACTGAAGAATTGAGAGTGTATCAGTCTGGACTTTTTTGTTCCTACAGGAGTCAGGAAGGATCCTCACAGACAAGGCCCTAATAGCATCATTCCTAACAATGTAAGTTTCAAAATTTATAATGGTAAATGAGTGTTTATGTTATAGCCCTGATTTTTTGAAAAATTTTAGCACTATTACTTAGATTAAGAGTCCTCAACACTGTGTGCACATCAGAATCATCTCTGAGATAAACAAATATGGTTTCTTAAATCCTTCCCCAGAATGAATTAAATAGAATCCTTAGCATGATGTTCAGATGCCTGTTTTTAGAAAGCTTTGCGGGGGCCCAGTCTGATGGCCTAGTGACTGGATCCATGCCTTGCATGATCCAGAATCCCATGTGATTGCTGATTCGTGTCACGCTGCTCCACTTCCCATCCAGCTCTCTGCTTTTGGCCTGGGATAGCAGTTGAGAATTACCCAAAGCCTTGGGACCCTCAGCCCACACAGTAGACATGGAAGAAGCTGCTGGCTCCTGGCTCTGGATCAGCTCAGCTCCAGCTGTTGTGAACCAGTGGATGGAGGATCTTTCTTTGTCTCTGCTTCTCTCTGTAGATCTTCCTTTCCAATGAAAATAAATCTTAAAAAAAAAAAAAGCTTCACAGACTATTATGACAATGGCTTGAACTGAGAACCCCTTTCCCTTAGGCATAGCAGCAGAGGCTATTCCCTCATAATTTGTGCCTACATATCTTTATTTTGATATTTCAAAATATATAGATGCTTTCATTTAAAATTTCTAAAGATCTATGTTTTTTTTTGAAGATGTATTTATTTTTATTACAAAGTCAGATATACAGAGAGGAGGAGAGACAGAGAGGAACATCTTCCATCCGATGATTCACTCCCCAAGTGACCATAATGGCTGATGCTGCGCTGATCCGAAGCCAGGATCTCCCACATGGGTGCAGGGTCCCAAAGCATTGGGCTGTCCTCAACTGCTTTCCCAGGCCACAAGCAGGGAGCTGGATGGGAAGTGGAGCTTCCGGGATTAGAACCAGCGCCCATATGGGATCCCGGCATGTTCAAGGTGAGGACTTCAGCCGCTAGGCCATGCCACCAGGCCCAAGATGTATGTTAAAATGTGTATGAAATATGATTTGAATTTTGTTGTTTATTTATTTGAAAAGCAGAGAGATTCTTTCATCTATTAGGTTGCGCCACAGATCCCTGCAACAGTTGGGACTGAGCTAGACCAAAGCCAAGATCCTGAGCTCAGTTCCTGCTGTCTCCCAGGGTGCAGGGTTAGAAGTGGCAATGGGACTTAAATCTGGGACCCTCAAATGGGATGAGAGTGTCCCATGTAGCAGCTTTAGCACTGCACTGAACACCCACTATTTTTATATATTCTTCACTGTGTATTTTGTTTACTAGAGAAAATCACTTCCTAAAGCAAACACCTATACATGTGAAGTTGTTTCTTGCTTAAGAAGTATTTCACAATAGGTTTTTGTGAACACACTAATGGATGCATTACTAAGATGGATTACTTTTTCTGTCAACTTGCTGTCTACATTAGTAGACTCTTAAGATCTGGGTTAGCACCACCTGTAAGTAACATGAGAGCAATCTCTTGTCAGTTTTGGAAGCTGTGTGTGTAGGGGAGTACAGCCAGTTTGATTAAGAGCATTCACTTAAACACCCTGCCCCAAAAGAGGTGGTTTTTTTTTTGTGCACAATATTTATTTTTTTTTTCATTTTTTAAATTGTTATTAACATTGTATTATGTGATACAGTTTTTTTACAGTATCATCCAGGTCAGCAGAAGCAGGGATATTAAGAGGAGACCGATCTATGTCATCTTTATAATTCACTGACACTCCAAGTTGCAACAAAGAATTCAATATTTGTGTATGTCCAACTGAGCATGCGCAGTACCAGGCAGTTTTGCTGTCCTGGTCAGTTCTTGTTGTCAAGGATTTATTGGCCAGGATGCTCTTTCTCCACTCCTTCAGGTTCCTGCTAGAGGCCAGGGTTTAGACTGTTGCATTCAATAGGGCAGCCTTCCGTTTCACTTTTCCCAGCTCTAGGAGCAATCACCTCATGTCTGGCCTGGCATGGTAGTCTAGTGGCTAAAGTCCTCACCTTGCACATGCCAGGATCCCATATGGGCACTGCTAATGCCCGTGGCCCCACTTCCCATCCAACTCCCTGCTTGTGGCCTGGGGAAAGCAGTTGAGGATGGTCCAAGCCTTGAGACCCTGCACCCATGCGGGAGACCCAGCAAGGCTCCTGGCTCCTGGCTTTGGATTGGCTCAGCTCTGGCTGTTGTGGCCACTTAGGTAGTGAACCAGAAGCAGATGGAAGATTTTCCTCTCTGTCTTGCCTCCTCTCGCATATCTAAGTTTCCAATCAAAATAAATAAATCTTTAAAAAGAAAAGATGAAGTGAGGTAGAATTTGTAAACATGTAACATGATACCTGACACAATGTCTGACATATTGATTTCTATCATTTATTAATAATCACTGCCATTAAGGGCTAGTACAGGTTATGTGGTGAACAAGTAAACTTAGGTAAATTATAAGAGTTAACAATAAAGGTAGAAGCAGAAAAATAAGAAGAAACTGATAACTTAAAAGGAGCAGAAATGTTGGATATTTTAATGAAACCAGGTGACTTTCCTAGTTCAGTAGACCAGTAGATATTGGCATATAATTATTGTTGTTTTCATTGATGATATTAACAAAAAGTTAAATGTATTCAATATAGTAGGTTTAAAAAGGCAGAGAAAATATAATTTGGAAGAGTCTTATCCAAAATATTTAACTGTAAGGAATATATTTATAACTGTAAAGATTTACTTCAAAATGTTCATGGAAAAAAAACAATTGAAACTTAAGTTTGTTTTGGTGCAAAAAATGTGTTTTTTAAAATGAACTTTTATTAAATAGTGATTTACCTGTTTTTTGTAAATCCAGTTCATCCAATTCTGAAGATATTTGTAGTTTTTCTGTTTTCTTGTGTGTGTTTCAGATTTATTGTTGGGGGCAGCACTGAGGCATAGCAGGTAAAACTGCTGCCTGCACTGCCAGTATCTCTTCTAAGCACCAGTCTGAGTTCCAGCTGTTTTACTACTACTTATTTTTTTTTAAGATTGATTGATTTTTATTGCAAAGGCAGATATTACAGGGAGAAGAGACAGAATGGAAGATCTTCTGTCCACTGCTTCACTCCCCAAGCGACTGCAAAGGCCAGATCTGCGTTGAGGATCCCAAGGCTTTGGGCCGTCCTCAACTGCTTTCCCAGGCCACAAGCAGGGAGTGAAATGGGAAGCAGGGCCACAGGGATTAGAACCAGTGCCCATATGGGATCCCAGCATGTTCAAGGCGAGGACTTTAGCTGCTAGGCCACTGCGCTGGGCCCACTGCTCTGTTTCTGAATCAGGTTCCCACTGATGTGCCTGGGAAAGTATCAGACGACAGCCCAAGGGCTTGGCCCCATCACCTTTTTGGGAGACGCAGAAGAAGCTGTTGATATCTGGCTTTGGACCAGCCCAGCTTTGGCCTTTGCGGGCGGCCATCTCAGTGATGATCCAGTGAGTGAAGATCTCTCTGTCTCCCTTGCCAACTTCTAATTCTGTTTTAAATAAATAAATCTATCTATTTGAACAGCAGACTTACACAAAAAAGACAGAGACTTTTTATCTATTGGTTCATGTCACAGATGCCCACCACGACCAGGCCAGGCTGCACCAGGCAAAAACCAGGATCCTGGAGCTTCCTCCACTACTTTCCCAGTTGCATCAGCAGGGAGCTGGATCGAAAGTGAATCAGCCAGGTCGCAAACACTTGCCCATATGAGATGCTGGAGAGGAAGCTGCTTAACCTGCCAGCCTACAACACTGGCCCCACCTTCCCCCTTCTAATAAATATATAAGCTTGTTAGAAAAATAATGCAGAAATATATAAATATGTCTATTAAGTTTCTGAAATGTGGCCAACTTTCTCACCTCATATCCAAAATTAAAAAGAGAAGAGTTTCCAGTTTTGACCAAATCATTTTCCTAATTCCTGTGTCTGTAATCTCAGGCCAGTGTCTGTTGAGGAAAGATCTTAATTTGTGGATTTGATGGTTTACACTCTCTTGAGGTGATGACAGAACCTGTCCCTTCAACCTCAAGTGTAATGAGGGCAGGGGTACCTCCTTCTGCATCCCAGAAGTACATGGACGTTCGCTGTTGCCATGTGTGGTTCTTGGTTTATATGTGAAACCATTACTTCTTTCTGCCTGCTTATGGGTGCTTTCCTCCTCCTTTACTCTTGCCTCCTAAGCCAGGAGGCCTGGGATTGACCCTGTCCCTAAATCTCCATCCCCTTCCCTTCCTGGCTTTGTGGATCCCTATTTGACTTTCCCCCAGGACCCTGATGGCCTCCCTTCCTCTTAAACTTCTGACTCATTTTCCTCCTTTTGGTGGCTCCCCCTTCATCCTCTTCCCTCATCTCCTTCTTGGTGACCTGGATCACTTCCAGCTTAGGCATTTTGCTGTTCACCGCTTCTCTTCGGGGTGGGGAGTGCTCTTGGAAGCACCCCTAAGAGGCCGTGAAGACTGACCTCTTGGTGTGGTACAGCCTAGCTCACCCTGACTTTGCTGTTCAGTGTGGTACATGCTGTCTGCGCTGCACAGTGTCTAGTGCATGCAGACCATTATGTAGAAGGTTCAGTTCACTGTTGGCTACCTGTTCATTCCTTGTTGGCCAGAATGTTCTTGGTGAACTGGTCTTCTACAGGGACATTGCTGCTCCTTGGTGTAATCCTGAGTGTGCGGGTAGACCCTGCTCCACCCTGTAGCAGATTGTTCCTCTTGGACCAGTGCCCTTAGCGCATGCCAGCTGCTGCCAACATAGAAGTGACTGCAATCAGGGCACCAGCTTCTCACACAGTAGGCAGGTGCTGGGCTCAGGTAGCTTAGCCACTTGCGCTTCTTCAGTTTGCTTCATTGCCAGCTGTCAGTGTGGTTGGGCAATCTCAGCTGGAAGCCAGCAGGTTGCCTGGGTCAAGCTCTGACTCACAACTGCCTGTGTGCCTGGGTGCACTGTGGCTTCTCTGACTCAGCCTGATCTGCCTTTACCAGCAGCTCCTGTGGGCTCGGCTCCTCCACAGCTCCCACCAGGCTCAGGTGGTACAAAATACTTTTTAAATAAGTGGATAAGTTTTTCATAACATATATTTCCTATGAATTTTTTTGAAGATTCCTCATGTATGTATCAGTCTTTCCATCTTTATGGAAAACTCAGTCATAGTAAACCATTTACATGAAAATTTCATGCAACTAAGATTTTACTTTTAGGAGTTATTGGATATTTAGCATATAAGCTTGACTATTGTTTGTTTGTTTTTACTAAGCTTGATTACTGTTAAGAAACCTGGACCAGAATAATGAAATTAGTAGCTTTAGTGTTTTTTTTTCTTGATTACCTATTTATTTGTGATACTTAGCTAGTGCTTATTAAAACAATGATTTTTTTTTTCAAAATGTAATCTCCTTTTCCTCTTTAAACACTGATTTTTTTGAAAGCAGAGACTAAGTGAAGAAAAATTGTTTTCTTAAAAACCTTTGCAAAACCTGAAGAATAATTCTATGGGACCCGGCAGCATGGCCTGGCGGCTAAAGTCCTCACCTTGAATGCACCGGGATCCCATATGGGTGCTGGTTCTAATCTCAGCAGCTCCACTTCCCATCCAGCTGTCTACTTGTAGCCTGGGAAAGCAGTCAGGGACGGCCCAAAGCCTTGGGATCCTGCACCTACGTAGGAGACATGGAAGAAGTTCCTGGCTCCTGGCTTCAGACTTGCATAGCACCTGCCGTTGCAGCTGCTTGGAGAGTGAATCATTGGACGGAAGATCTTCCTCTCTGTCTCTCCTCCTCTCTGTTTATCTTACTTTGCAATAAAAATAAAAAATGAATCTTTAAAAAAATTTAAAAAGAATAATCCTATGGAAATTAAGAATATAATTCTAAAATATTTCACATTGTAAATTTATTTTCAAAATAATTTAAATGATAAATTATTTGCTTATTTTTTACATGTATTTCTATATCGCTGGGCTCTTCTTGCTGTAGTAACATGTTTTATTTTTTGTAGATCAGTGATACAGCAAACAGTACAAAGACTGAATATACAACCATAAAAGGAATTTTAGTGAAAAACAAAGCAGACTTCAAAACATCAACAGATTCCAATGCTTCCTTGTGTTCATCTCTGGCATCCAGTGCTTCTAGCCATAACAGCATGGAAGAAATGACAAGGAAAAATGAAGGTACAGGATGGCACTTGAAGGAAAACTAAACCTTTTTATAAAATTAGGGAGTTTTTAGAGTTATTATATGGTCTTGATTTATTTCCTCTGTATAATATACTTACCATCTAGAATCTAGTTAAGCAGATGTCAGAATATAAGTAAATGCTCATTGAATAGCATGTGTTTTGTTAAACTTTTATGGATTTTACGTTAAGCTGAGTATTTATATGACATTGGAAACTGGCCAGAGAGTTCAATTTTAATATCCTGTTACTTAGCCCTTTTAACTTCTGAGAATAGTCATTTCGAGCAAGGATTATTTCTGTTTTTTTTTTATCTAGATTTGTGTCACTTGAGTAAATACTGTTTAGCAAGTTGTTACATTAACCTTACAAATTTGATTTGTGAGAACTGGTGATTAACCCATTGCATTTGTGAGATAGCCTGTAAATTGCTAATATTAATTTGAAATTTCTAATACCATCTGAAATATTTTACATATTATCTCTAATTTTAATATCTCAGATTATTTTGGAGATTTCATTATGATATATCCCTGTTATAGGAACATGAGACTTTATTTATTTTTACTTTAGAAAAAATAACTACAGCCAATATAAATCTAAAATTTTTCTTCAGTGACTCAAATTCAGTAAGATTAATTTTTTTTAAAGATTTACTTATTTATTGGAAAGTCAGATATACAGAGAGGAGGAGAGACAGAGAAGAAGATCTTCTGTCTGATGATTCACTCCCCAAGTGAGCACAACGGCCAGTGCTATGCCGCTGCGAAGCCAGAAGCCAAGAACTTCTTCCTGGTCTCCCACATGGGTGCAGGGTCCCAAGGCTTTGGGCCGTCCTTGACTGCCTTCCCAGGCCACAAGCAAGGAGCTGGATGGGAAGTGGAGCTGCCAGGATTAGAACTGGCGCCCATATGGGATCCTGGCGCGTTCAAGGCGAGGACTTAAGCTGCTAGGCCATGCCACCGGGCCCAAGAAGAGCACTTTTGTTTAGTTGACTTTCTTAAATAAGGGAATTGTTTGGTTATAATTTTCATAGTTTGTTCCTAGACTTCAACTTAAATTTCTTATAGTGAATTTCTACATGTTTATGAAAAAGTTATCTCTGCAAACAAACAGAAGCTTTAAGATTTCAGAATCTTAATGCATCCTAAATGAGCCAGAACAGTTGTACAATGACAGTGCGTGGCATATCACAGAACTGACACCTATCAATGTTAGGGTCATCTGTCACCGTAACAGGAGGAGTTTGACTTTTTCTCTGCAGGTTAGAATATGTTACAAAAAGTTTCTAGCCTCTATCACAAAGAATGTAGTATTTCTTGTAGGCTAGTGATGGGTGGAGGTGAAATTACTGACTGGACATTGTTAAGAGGCTTTTAGCAGCTTGCATCTATTACGCTTGGCAACTGGTGGAATTTGAGAAATACAAGTGTTTGATCATGGCTCCTAGGTTTCTAGATTGAGCATCAAAATGAATGATGGTGCTCTTTATCAAGATAGATAATAGAGGAGCAAGAACAGATTTAAGAAAAAGATTTGATTTTAAATTAACTAATTTTTTTTACATAGATTTGGTTTTTTTGGTTCTTTATTGGAAAGGCACATTTACTGAGAGAAGGAGAGACAGAGAGAAAGATTTTCCATCCACTGGTTCACTCCCCAAGTGGCCTCAATGGCGGGATATGAGCTGATGCAAAGCCAGAAGCCAAGAGCCAGAAGTTTCTTCGGGTCTCCCATGTGGGTGCAGGGTCCCAAGACTGTGGGCCGTCCTTTACTGCTTTCCCAGGCCACAAGCAGGGAGCTGGAGCAGATATATGGGATCCCCATATGGAATCCCAGCACATGCAAGGCAAGGATTTAGCCATTAAACTATTTTGCTAGGCCCAGCACTGTTTACATTGCAGAAATATCAAGAAAATGAAAAATGAAAAGTGTTCCTTAGAAATCATTGTTTTCCTTTCCAGACCCATTTCATTAAGAGCAATGTGTTAAGAATGCAAATATGCAGGAAGCTAAGAAAATACAAATTGCTCTGAAGGGAACTGGTGAGAAAGATGATAACTGAAGGAGACTGTGGGTCAGGGGAAGATGCACATTTATTTGCTTGAGAGTAGGTGATATGTAGAGGCTGAGCTTCAGAAGCTAATGAAGAACAACAAACTAGTTGTTCTGAAAAATGAGAATCCCAAATATGAGCAACGAATGGGACCAAACGTTTAGGAGAATAGATTAAATTTAGGAGAGAGATTAGCTTATCCTCTACAAGGCAGGGAGGGTGGGCTGAGGATCATAAACGCATTTCTGGTTTGGAGCAGAAGAGAGCCAAAAACTGAAGGAATTCATGTCTGATAATCTTTTTTCCCCTCTAAGATGTGAGACATAAAGCCAGTTGATCTATGATTTAGAGGAGTTCGATGTATGGAATAGAAGAGGGAGCTCAGAAAAATAGCCATTGCTGATTTTATTTTTTCCTGAACGTTTTATGCCTAATGGTGAATTCATATTAATGCCAATTACTGTGTTAATATTTATAATTTTAAGGCTAAAGTATCCAGAATTACATAAGAACTATAAGATACAGTAGTTACCTGAATAACATTTTTAAAGTTTCAATCCAAGATTTATATTGAGTTATGTCATTTTAATATTTGATCTTTTCCCCTTACATTTAGGTCCTCACACTTCAGCAAACATAGGTGCATTAAGTAGCTGCCTGAACTTAAGAACAGTAGTCTCTGAAACTTCTATGTCCAGTACTGTTTCCAGCACACAAACTATGGTAACCCAGCAGTCCATTAAAACTGAATCCTGCAATACAAACGGGGCAGTGGTTAAAGATGAAGCCTCACTACCAACACTCCGCACCAAAGCTGAAGGTGTGAAATGCGTTTCACATACTGTGTTTTGAACCACTTGTGTATACAATTAATCATGCTTATTTGTCTTAATTGGGAGTTGCATTTCATATAGGTTTGAATTATGTAAGAAGCTAATACATTTCTGTTAAACTCATACTTAAATAATCTTTACTTCCTTACAAAAAATATTTAGATTAGCTCACACTGAAATACAATTTGAATATATCTTCTCACTCACGAATAAATTCAGCAGACTATTCATTAGAAAACGTTGATTCTAGCCTGTGGATTAACAATTTCCCCAACTTGATTGAGTCTAATTTTGTAAATTCTTTCTGTTGCTATAAAAATTCTGTTTGATCTTTGATCAATATGCTTTTAAGTGCTAGCTGGTCATGAAACACTGAAGAAAATGAACTTTATTGAGTTAAGTGTATCATTAGGTGATATTAACTATTTGTATGTTTATAAATTATACTTTAATGTAGCCATTTGATAAGGGACTGCATATAAATCTTACCTGATTATTTAATTTTTAGTTGATGAAACATGTGCTTTGCCTGCAAGTAAGATCAGCCGTGTTGAGACACATGGTGCAGCAATGCCATTCTCTGTAAGTATGTAGTTTGGTCATGCTGCATGTTTACAAGTGACTATGTGCTTTTAAATGCTGAGCAGTTTCTAAATAAGTTCACAAAGTCCTGAGGTCTCAGTTATTAATGAATTGACATCACTTTAAAAATAAGTACTTAAATGGGAATGCTCACAGTGTATTCAGTGACAAAGGATGGACGAGCTGTGGTCTCATGTTAAAAAGCACACACACAGTATACACATTCACAGACACATTCGTACCTGCACATACATGACACATGTTCATACTAAAGTAAGAGAGGACTCCGCAGCTTTGGGGGCTGCAGGTAATTTTTACTTCTTGTATTTTTCTATGATGACACACATTCTAATCAGAAACATGTTCACGTACGCTACATGTGCATCCAAAAGTTTAGAAAAATTCATAGAAAATGTTTATTAGGGAAAATTATGCGTAAAATTTAAAATCTTTTGTACAAACATCTTTAAAGAAATTTTTTACTTATCTATTTTCATTTCATTTGAAAGAATTAGAGAAATAGAGACAAATTGAGAGCTCTTTCATTCATTGGTCTACTTCCCCCAGACCCACAGCAGCCAGACCTGAGTGCAGAACTCAGCCCAGGTCTCCCCGATGAGCGGCAGGGACACTGCATGTGGCTCATCCCCAGCTGTCCCCACAGTGTGCTTCAGCAGGAAGCAGGGTCAGGAGCAGAAGGGTTAGGACTCAGACCAGCCACGTGGACACAGGATTTCTGTGTCCCATGCAGTGACTACCTACTCACCTCTAAACTTAGCTTTCAATTATATTTTCTTTTTTTCTTTAAGGTTTATTTATTTTTAATTGCAAAGTCAGAGAGACAGAGAGGAAGAGAGACAGAGAGAAAGATCTTCTGTCCGATGATTCACTCCCCAAGTGACCTCAATGGCTGATGCTGCGCTGATCCAAAGCCAGGAGCCAGGAACCTCCTCCATGTCTCGCACATGAGTGCAGGGTACCAAGGCTTTGGGCTGTCCTCCAATGCCTTTCCAGGCCACAAGCAGGGAGCTGGATGGGAAGTGGAGCCGCTGGGATTAGAACCAGTGCCCATATGGGATCCGGGCATGTTCAACGCGAGGACTTGAGCTGCTAGGCAACCATGCCGGGCTCTCGATTATATTTTCTATGAATTTTTTGAAGTAGCTTCAGACATATGTGTACTTATATCTATATAAAATTTATACCCATGGTTTGAAGATAATATATTATGGGAAAAATTTGGATGACTACTTAATAGGAGCATGACAGAATATTATAGTATCATATTGCTTACCTAAAAATCTTTGAGAATTTGCCTGACATCAAATTAAAATGCCGGGAAAGTGCCTCACAAACATATCAAGATTGTCTTAACTATGTAAGGATGATACCTATGTATATGAGGATGCTTTGAAAGTTCATGGAGAAGTGGAATTAAAAATGCTTATTTTGGTACAAAAATTTTGAAATTTAAGTATAGTATTTTTTAAAAATTCGTTTTTCTGGGTTTTTTTTTAAAAGAGTTATTTACTGTGACCAGTGCTTGGGCCCTACACCCACATGGGAAACCCAGAAGAAGCTCCTGGCTCCTAGCTCCGGTCTGCCCCATCTCTGGCCACTGCAGCCATTTGGGGAGTGAGCCAGCAGATGGAGTCTGTCTATATAGAGAGAAATCACTCTTGCCTTTCAAATGAATCAATAAATCTTTAAAACCAAATGGGCCACTAGCACAATATTAAGAAGGACATGATGGGGTTTTCTGAGGCATTTTTCTTTTTTAAAGATTTATTATGTATTTATTTGAAAGGCAGAGTGACAAAGAGAAAGAGACCTTCTATCTGTTGATTCACTTTCCAAATGGCCACAGTCATCAGGGCTGCAACAGGCCAAAGCTGGGAACCAGAACCCGGAGCTCTGTCCTGGTCTCCCAAAGCTCTGCCACCCTCCCAGGCATACAGACAGAACCAGGACTCAGACTGGCACTCCATATGGGATGCCAGCATCAGAAATGGTGAGTAATCCACCAACCCACAGTGTCAGGCCAACTGTGAGCTTTAAAAAACCCCCCTTATGTACTTTTTGAATGTTTTAAAAATTTATGTATTATTTCAATTTTATTGCTGAGACCAAGAGTTTTTTATTTTACCTAGTTGTTTGCTTTTAAGATCCTTAAGAATTATCTATAGATTTCAATTTTAAGGATTTCAGCATTTATTCATTCTTGTCAGCTTTTATTTTTCCAGAAAGTTAAGTCCTAGTGTTCTTAGATTCTTTTCAGAGGATTATTAAAAGAACTTTGTTTTCCTTAAGCCTGTACAGCACATTAGGTAGAATTACATTTATTATTTTAGTTGGAGCCAGTTGTTTTATAAAAGTTGAGAGAGTTTCTGCAACTTTAATGAACACAAGTTTAAAGCCTTTCTTTTTAAACTTTAAAAACTCACCTAATTTACTTTGTCATGTGTGATAACCTTAACAAAAATGTAATCAGAAGCGTGTACCTCTGCTCTTACACATTTAAGAGAAAAAGAAATAACTGAAGTGCACATTTGTTTTGAGCTTGTGGAAACAGTTGCTCATTTTTAAAGAGTATGGAAAGGTTGGTTCAAGGGATAGGTATGATTCACCTGTCACTAGAAGTAGCTTAAGGTAGAAGTTAATTTGTTGTTAATTTGTTGTAAAAATGTGAAACTGTTTTATCTTCTGTTTATTTTACACTAAAATATATTCAGATTGCATTTTAGTTTTGAACATTTTTTTCTCCTTTTAGGTTTGGAGAATCACAGGTATTTGAAGTGAAAGATCACTGAAGTTATACTAGTTGTTTTTGAATCTGGAAATGAGCCAGTTTGACATGGGTTTTCTGAGTTTCCTCCTTTTGGAGTAAATTGCAGTGTTCCACTAAAGGGATTACATTTTCCAAGAGTCTCTAAAATGACAGTGTTCCATAAAAAAGCTGGCATTGTAACATGTCACGATTGGAGAGCATGCTAACTGCAGCCACAATGATAGGACAGAGCTACTGCCATGGAGAGGGCCTGTCACCCCACGTGTGAATTGGTGTCCCTGTGTCACTGTCGATTGACCTTGATTTACTTAGGAGCTGTTAATGTTGTGTTTACCCTTAGATCTACTTGTAGATCACTGCATGAATTTATTAAGTCTTGAAATTTTTCCAGTGCTCAATGAGAGTCTTCACAAAATTTTCTTTCTCTGAAATTAGAAAGAGATTCCTTCACATCCAGTCGCCACAGCAAAAGCAGGAGAACGACAATGGTGTGATGTGGGAATTTTTAAAAATAATACAGCTTTGGTGAATCAGTTTTACTTGCTGCCAAAAGGGAAGCAAAGCATCTCAAAGGTAGTTATTGATATTTGTACAGCATGAATGATAAACCTCAAGAATGCAATTTTTTTGTTATCTTGATCCAGGTAACTTGATTGAATAAAATTAGATTCACCCAATAATCTTATTGTTGAGAATTCTGTGTATCTAGGTACATTTGTATTTTGTTGTTGTTAAGGCTGTTTTTATAGAACAAATCACAAGTGTGTAATTTTAAAAGTCTTATATAATCAGTGAGATGGGTTTTCAGTCATGAATTATCTAGTATGACTCAAAATTTTTTGAAATATTTACAAATTTGTTACCCAGAATGTTTAAGGATTAGATTTTTCCCTTTCTTTCCTTTCTTTCCTCCTGTCCTCCCTCCCACTTTGCTTCCTTCCTCCTTTCCTTTCTTACTTTAAACAGAAATCTTTAACTCACTGTTTCATACCTGAAATGCCCTCAACAGCAAGGGCTCTACCCAGCAGAATCCAGGAGCCTGGAGTTCCCTTCAGACCTCCTTCATGGGTGGCAGGAGTCCTATGTTTGAGCCATTACCTACTACTTCCAGAATATATTAGCAGGAAGCTGAATCAGAAGCAGAGTAGCTGGGACTTGAAGCAGGTGTACTCTCATAGGACATAGGCATTCCATGCAGTGACTTAGCAAGTCCCTGAGCCATCAACTCCTGCCTCCAGTGTAGGCCCTGGCAGGAAGCTGGAGTATTAAAGGGAGCTGAGAGCAGAACTTGCACTTCAGAAGTCGGTGTAGTGATATAGAAGGTCAATCTGTTGCCTGTGACACTGCCAGCATCCTTTATGGGTGCTGGTCATGTCCCAGCTGTTCCCCTTCCAGTCCAGTTCCCTGCTAATGGCCTGGGAAAGCAGTGAAAGATGGCCCACGTGTTCGAACCCCTGCCATTCACATGGTAGACCTGAAAGAAGCTCCTGGCTCCTTGCTTTGCTCCAGTGCTGGCTTTTTGTCTTCTGCGGTTTGAATCAGTGAATGGAAGATTCTCTCTCCTCTTTCTGTAATGCTGGCAAAATTAAAAAAAAAAAAAAACAACAGCCAAAAAAAGAAGAACAGAACTTGCAGTGCAGTGGAGGATGTAGGTGTCCTAAGTATACCTTAACTAGTGTTTATTAATTTCTACATGTTTCCAACCATATGCTAGTCACACCTCTACTATGATGATTACCTACATTATGAGATTTCTGATCCGTGTTAAGTCTACACAGGGATGACGTAGTTAGTACTTTGTTTATAGTGGCTCTTAGTTATTTTCTGCCTTCATACAATTCATGGACTTATACATTTCTCTTTATAAAAATCTATGACTTGAAAAGGCCTTTTCCCCCCCAGAATCACTGACTTGTAACCTTAGTCACGTTTGTTGTAGAGGTCTCATATCATGTATAAAATAAGTAAATGTAAACTGGAACCTCAAAACTAATTTATTTTTAAAAATTTTTATAGTTTAATAAAAAATAAGGAATTAAAAATTATACTAAGTTGATCATGCCTTTTCTTTGACTTACGCATATTTGCATTTTAGGCAGGAAATGCAGATGTACCTGACTACAGTTTGCTTAAGAAACAAGATCTTGTTCCAGGCACAGGATACAGATTCCGGGTTGCTGCAATTAATGGTTGTGGAATAGGCCCTTTCAGCAAAATTAGTGAATTTAAAACTTGTATTCCTGGTTTTCCTGGAGCTCCTTCTGCAGTTAGAATTTCGAAGGTGAGATTTCATGTTGACTTGTTAGTGACTGAAGTTATTTGAACCTGCAGACATGAAGTAAATTGTTACTTTAGAAATTCTTGTTAGCATCTAATTAAATGAGAAATATCTAAAAGGAATGGATTAAAATGTTTTTCTAGTCATGAATGTTATTGCTAAGTACTGAATTTTCAGCAAAATTTACAGGATCCAAATTACAGAAAGGCAGGGAAATCTGGTATGCTTAGCTTGTACTTGTTCTTGAATATGGAACTCATAAAATTGTAATGGAACATATGAGATTAGATTAATTTTATGCTAAGATTTACTTTTAGGGAAGAAAAAATCTGTATTAGGAATATTAGCAGTTAAGCCTCATTGTTTTTGAAAAGTAGGCATTAATTAAACATTAGAGTTGTAGTTTCAATGAAGGTAGGTCTAAAGTCAACAATAAAAGATGTAACATTTAAACAAAAATTTTTAAGTTACTTAAAAGGCAGAATTAGAGAGACAGGTGGATTTTCTGTCTGCTGATTCACTCCCCAAAATGTCAATAAACGGAAGTGGGCCAGTTGGAAACCAGGAGCCAGGAGCTCTATTTGGGTTTCCTAGTTGAATATTAGGGGCCCAGCCTTTTGAGCCATCTTCCACTGCTTTACCCAGGCCCATTATCAGGCAGGTTCAGAAGTAGAGAAGCTTGGCCTTAAACTGGTACTCATATAGGAGGCCAGCAGCACAGACAGTGGCTTATCTTGCTGTGCCATAACACTGGCCCCAAGATCTGATAGTTAATGGAATTACTTCAGCAAAAAGGAGATTTCTATATTTTCAAAAATAGTCTCATCATAATAAGTAAAAATAGGAAAAAACTTGAGAGGCTTTACCTGGTTTTTTCCCCCCTCTCTTTAAGAACGTTGAAGGTATCCATCTTTCCTGGGAACCTCCAACTTCACCTTCTGGAAATATTCTGGAATATTCAGCCTACTTGGCTATTCGCACAGCACAGATACAAGATAATCCAAGCCAGCTTGTGTTTATGAGGATTTATTGTGGTCTTAAAACATCATGTATAGTAACTACTGGGCAGCTTGCAAATGCACATATTGATTATACATCCAGGCCTGCCATTGTGTTCAGGATATCAGCAAAGAATGAAAAGGGATATGGACCAGCTACACAAGTTCGATGGCTTCAAGGTAACAATAAGAAAGCACCTTTAAATTGATTTTGTTTTTTACTGAAACTGTTGTCATAATGATTATTTATTAGTAACTGGTTATGAAGATTGTCATTTAAGAGTGTTCTCTGACTGTATTTCTAGCAGTTAAAAATCTGAGTTTGTAAGTTGTTATTAAAATGTATTTGCTTAATTCTACATACAAATAAAATAGAAAAGAAGCAAAGACTCTGAAAATTAGTACATGAGTTCCTCCTTAACAGATACAGCTCTTTTATAAAGAAAAGCAAAATTAAGATAAAAGCTAGAAGGCTTTGTTATCCCAGTATTGTTTATAAAGGCTGTGTAACTCAGTCATCCGGGAGGTGCTGAGATGATTGCAGTAACTAGCTCTTATACACTATGCTGTCATAAATAGTGTGTTCCACATTACAATTGCCCTGTCTTTGAGTGTGCCCTCTGGCTTTATTTTATAGGAGCAATGGTCCTCTAGCAACTAGCTTTTATTGGAGATACTTATGATAGTTCTTTCAGTAGCTATTGGTTTCCTTTCTTTATGTACAGTTGCAACAGAGCTTGAGAAATTATAAAAGGAGAAAAAGCAAGGTCAGAAATTACTTTTGAATTTTACCATTTTTCCAAGAATCATGGTAAAATATTTTTTAAAAATGGGTTTTCTTGATTTGTACTAAGTAGCTATATTGAGTAAATTTTTAGTTAAATCACTTAATTTATCTCTCCATTTTCTCATTAATATATGTGAAAGTTAAAAGAGTTTACCTTGAAGGTTCCTTTCAGCACTAAAATATTATATTTTCATCAGAAGTGAAGTGAAGCCCTAAACATTCTCATCTGTCTTACTGGCACTAACTTTGCTCTTTACTGAAATTTAAAACTTCATAATTGAAAATTAAAAATTAGATGTTCTCCTATTACAGGAAGAAGCACCTTAACAAGAAACAAGTTTTGAAATAGTGTTCGAAACATTTGTAAGATTTTTGTAAATGCTCTAAATGTTTTATTTTTGCATTGTTTTTATCTCAAAATTGTATAAAACTTTTTTACAATGGAAATAGAAGCATTAGACAGCTCACTCGGGTCCCGTTGCAACCTTCAAGATGCAGACGGACCTCATGAGCACTGCTGCAGGTGGCTTGCCTAAACCTGCTGGGATGTCGTGGTTCCTCTGCCTGTTGAGATCGGGATGAACATGGAAGCAATAATGGCAGACAGGAGGTTTCAGATTAAGATCTGCAATTGACTGCAGGGCCAAAGGTCTGTCTGTTTATATCACATAACCTTCTGCCAGTTTAGGCTGACCGAGTAGCTGTGTCCTCAAATTTTATGTATAACACTCCCAGCAAAGATGATCTAATTGTGCAGAATTGATATATATGTGTGTTCCAGTTACTAATTTAAAATGTATAGAGTATTTTAATATATAATTTTTGTAAAGAATGGGGTTTTTATACAGCAGTATTTGTAATTAATGTGTCTCACTAAATTTCTCTTGAAAAAATATGCAAACTGTTAGACATACAGTGAGTGGTTTCTGAACTCTAAAGATAAAATAAATGCACTACTATGGTGTTATTAGTACTCTTTTGTGGCTGTATGACTCTTTAATCTTGAAAAATGTGTATTTTACAAATAATGTTTACAAGGAGCTTCTCTGGTTGGTTATTTTGGCAACTTCCTTGGTGAGAGCTTCATCTGCATTTTTAACTCATATGCTTTGCTTTTGGCATATGCTTGCTTTTTGCACTAGTAGAATATTAACTTACCTCATTATTATGTTTGTAATCATTTGTATAGCTTCCATCATGTGTCTGATATAGGCTAAAAAGACTTAACCAAAGTTAAAATTAAAATAAATGGTAAGCAATTTTGCACATATTAAATGCTAGGGTTTGTTGTGTGTGTGTGTGTGTATATATACCTAGTTATAAAAAGAAAAGAATTGAAAGTTATAAGTGTGTTTCAAGCCCAATTATTTTAATGATCTAGTTGTTTTATTAGAACAATTCTCTTAACTCGTACTCCTCAGTAATTAATCAGTTTTATCGTAAAGCACTTCTCTTAATGACAAACGAATAAGTTACCTTTAAGCAAAAAAAAAAAAAGGGCTATTTCTTTTGAGTGTGCACATTTATACCTGTTAGTATTTGACTTAGTTTACTTTGCTTAAAGCCTTTCCTGCTCTCGACCAGCAGATGAATATGAATCTGTCATTCTAACGTACAGCTTGTTTTTAGAGGAAAAGGCAGCTTTTCTAAACCGACGAGTGTGTTAAACTAATGATGCTTTGACTTTGAGGATTAGCCCAGATTGTTGTTGTTATTATTATCATTATTATTATTATTTGGGCATTTGTACATTAAGTACCAATCTTTCTCATAAATAATCATGAGCAATTAAAAGATATTTATCTGCTGCTAATTAAAACATGCCATTTAGAAATATCTGTGGTTTTGATATTAATAGTTAATATAAAGAGATATTAGAGCTCTATGTTCATGAGAATGGACTAGAATGGACTAGGTAACTAATGAGAAAATTACATTTTGCTTCTTATGATTGCACATTTTCTGAGTGAAGATCATTTTGTAAAGCAGTAGACTATATCATGCAGAAATTTTTCCTAAGCCATACCTTGAGTTAAGTTAGTTTCTTAACTTCCCAGTTGGGTAAGCAATTTAATAGAACAAACTTGTGCCACAGTCCTTTTCTTGCACTCTGTTCTTTTATTTCATATTAGTACTGAAATATTTTAATGTTGCATGCTCTCAGAATTTTATTTTTAAAATATTGGCTTCGTTTTAGTTCAGTAAACTGTTTTGGCAATTAGAAATAAAATATATATAAATTCATTTATATCTACAGGTTTTTAAAAATTTGAAATAATATGATTGTATGTATGAAGCATTCATGCCTCATGACCCAATTACATAAAGGTAATCATCTGTAGGAAGGTGAAACTTGTTCTGTTACTTCAAATACTTACAGACTAGCAGAGATTTGTTCTGATTAGATTTATGCATTTTAGTGACTAAAGATATTTTTGAAATTTAGTATTTGTAGCATAAAGAACATTTGTAACATTGAATATGAAATTATTAGTATTGAAAATTATTTCAGCCATCTGATGATAACTGAAGCAGATGAAAAATTGGCTTGCTCTTCGACCATTTAAAGTGTAGCTGAGTGTTGTTTCCCAAGACTGACTTTCAGGCAGTTTTATGTGATATGTACCAATGACATATAAAATAAAGCAATTACAGATGTTATTTATTTTGAGTTTCACTAAAGAAAAAGTAGTTATGGCAAAGAAAACAAGTGAAAGTGTTAATTTCATCATATTAATTTAAATTAGTATGGACTATCCCCTAAGAATGGATTGTGTCTGAAAATTTGTTATTGGATTATGGTTGAGAATTACATAGAAATGGAAGGCCTGATTCTTGTTATAGCTAAATTAACATGCTTGCAGGTAAAAGGCAGCTGGCTCCAAGAACAGTCTAGACTTGTCACCTGTCTTTTGTCTTCCATTTACTCTTAAACCTCATTTGGCTTTTCACCCTTTTTGAGTTCTTAGCAGCCAAGGCTTCTGACTGACTTTTCCGTTGAAATGGCTCTACCAGAAGTCGGGGGTAACTTCCCATTTTCCAAATCCAGGGAATTTTTTCATCAAACATAATCATGCCATTTGAAATTTCTATCCATTCCTTGGGTACTTCATTTTGTAGTGTCTGTCGTGCTTACACTCTTTCTTAATGTTCCTCTTCCTGCCTACCTCTCCCACTTCCACTTGCCACCATTCATTTTTTTTTAAATTCAACTTGGTAAAGCCTTTCCTAACATACTCTATTTTCAGGTAGATTTCACCCCTTTGTTTTGTACCTCCAGGTGTCCTTTGTGAAAACTTCTGTCAGAACAGTCTAAACATGTGCCCTTCTGTTACTGTGTCTCTCTAAGCAGGGAGTCTCAATGCCCAGAAGGATCCTTTTTTTTTTTTTTAAAGATTTATTTATTTATTGGAAAGTCAGAGATACAGAGAGGAAGATCCGTCCAATGGTTCACTTCCCAAGTGAGCGCAACAGCTAGAGCTGAGTCACTCCGAAGCCAGAAGCCAGGAACTTCTTCCGGTTCTCCCACACGGGTGCAGGGTCCCAGAGCCTTGAGCCATCCTCAACTGCTTTCCCAGGCCACAAGCAGGGAGCTGGATGGGAAGTGGAGTTGCCGGGATTAGAACCAGCGCCATATGGGTTCCTGGCATGTTCAAGGCGAGGACTTGAGCCGCTAGGCCACGCCGCTGGACCCCCAGAAGGATTCTTTATATCCCGTCCCTAGTGGCCTGTAAGCTGGTGTCTATGTATTTTAACAAATATGTAGAATTGTCACACTTTCCAGACTCCCACTTTGCATTCTAGTTAGAATCAAATTAAGAGGCTTTGAGAAGGAAGAGATCCTGGCGGATTTAGTAGGCCTCTGGAGAACTGCGAACTCTTTAGCTCTGTCTTAGACCAGTGTACTCTTACTTGGGTACATGAGAGAAGTTCTGGAATCAATGGGAGATTTCATATTGGAATCTTAAGACCTTAAGAGATCTTTGATTTGAACAGACTTAGCATTTAATGATGTTAGGGAACATGCGTAGGTTTTTAATACTAGGGAACCAAAACAAGCTAAAAAATAACTGTCAAAAGTTAGTGTCTTGCCTGAGAATAGAAAAAAAAAATCCCTACTTAATTGCAAGGAAGTGCTGGAGGGGAGACACTGAAGTTGGAACTGTACTAGATTCTGCTACATACTCCTGTCACTTCTGAACTTACAAGACAAGGGATTCTTGCATGCAGGAAGCAGGATGGCATCACAGAGCTCCCTGTCAAGGTTCCCAGTTACAGTTGTGAGTCCTTTATACTTAGTTGTTCTATAAATCCAAAGAGGGTTTAGTATAATCATACCTAGAAAAACAGGTATGACAACATTGTGTAAAACATCTTGAGAGATAAACAATAAATTTTATAAGCTAAGTGAAGAAAAAAAGTCAGCTAGTTAAATCATAGCTATATGTCTGTAAATATTACACAAGTATTCCTTATTTACTGATTTTATTTTACTGGTTCAACAAAGTCTTTGAAGACTGCCTAGTGATATCACAGTGTTTACATATAACCTCTGAAGATAAGAGTATAAAAAATGTTCATTAGTGTGCTATATGAGATATGGAAGCTGTAATAGAGGTGGCAATGTCCCTGCCTTCTACCCACTGCCCATTCATCTCCTTGCCACCAAGACAAGAGACGCTCAAATAGATGCACATTGCCAAGTGGGAGAGCTGAGGAAGACACCGGAATAACCCTTTGTGTCTGAGCATGTACAGGGTAAAAATAAATAGCAGTAGCTGGTATTTATTTTGAACATACACTGGCTCCTGCCTATTAGTATTGCTTGTCCAACAAATGTCTTTCTCTTACCAAGAGTGTTAGCCATTCCTCCTCCTGAGGAGATAAAAGTTCTCTAAAAACTTACAAGTTTCCTCCTAATTTCTGTATTCATACTGTGGAGGGGACAAAAAGTTGCAGGCTTGACACTTGGTATCCAGTACGACTGAGCTTAAGATATGAGAATGGGAGAGGTCTGAAGATACAGTGAGCGAAGATCATCCCGCTCCCAGTCGAAGTCTAGCACCCCCTGCTGGCAGTCGATTCCAACTTAACTATTAGTTTCTGGGTCTTGTAGCTACTTAGGATTTTTAAGAAGCAATCAAGGCAATGCCTTATTTTCTGATGAGTTGTTATTCTTGGCAAACCCTGGTGACACATTTAGACCTGCAGAAATACATTCACTTCTTCCCCATCCCTTGACCTGGTATTTGCTTCTGGGCCTATTCTACCCTTTCAACCAACTCCCTAAGTCAAGACACAGGAACTTAAACTACTTGCCCTGCTTGGGTACAGGGAAGGGTTGAATGCTTCAAAAATTATTTAATATTTAGAACTGATACAAAAATCTATCATTTCTTGAGCCAGGGGAAATTATACCTTAACTGTGTCTTCATTCTGAAAAAAATGGCATTGATGGTGATAATCTTAGCAAAGACAAAATTGTGAAATTGTTAACATCTGTATGAACAGCGAGGCACTTATTATTACTGTGACCAAACACACTGAACAGCTACCATGCACCTTCCATGTGTCCAGAATACTTAACACATCAGTGCATTATTAGAAGAATGTGCCAGAGGAAATTTGTACTTTTCAAAAGTCAATTTAATTCATGAGAGATTGTCATTTCACTAAATACCTTATACAAATAGTCATCTTCATGAACAAAGCAAGCGACTAGCTGCAGGGAGGCCAATGCCCAGGCCATTTTGGAGGAGTGTTACCATCGCAGTACCATCTTTTTGGATCTTCACCTTATAGGAAGCTAACGTCTGTAAAGAATAGACCATGCTTGTTTCTGTTTTCATATTATGCTTTATTCTTCATTTTAATAATTGGCAAGATAGACTACCACAGTAATGGCTGAAATCTCAGAGATTTCTTTGTTGATGGAAGTATATATTGCATAACCTTATATGCTTTGTCTTTTAAAGTATTTGTTGTAAAATAATGCCTACCAAAACACATAAACTGTATATGTATGGTTTTAAAACAATCACACATGTACCCAGTCTTGTGCTTCAGCATGTTCTCCAACGCCGGAAACACCGCTCTCCCCAGCTTGTCCTCTTTCCGTGTATGTCGCATGGAGTAAACATTTTTCTGAATGTTTTATTAGTGCTTTTCTTTGGTCAGTGATTCTCATGTGTTTTGTGTGTGTGTGTGCGTGTGTGTGTGTGTGTGTGTCTACCTTCTTTATATGTATACCTAGTAATTTGTCATTTAGATTTACATATTTTTGAACTTTGGTGTAAACGGAATCATACTGTATGTATTTTTCTGTAATTCTGGTTTTTTTAACATTGTTTTTGAGATTCTTGTCCATGTTTATGCATGTACTTCATGTTTTTTGCTGCTGTATAATGTTCCATTATATGACTGTTTCACTATCCATTCTTCTATTTACAGAGATGTAGATTATTTTCAGCTTTTGTTATTATAAATAATGCTCTTATGAACATTCTTCCATTACAATGTAAGCATTGTCTGTTTTATTCTCTGCTGTAACCACAACATCTAGAACAATAACTGACACAAGACAGATTCTCAATAAATCATTGAGGAATGAATACCTTCTTGTACCTGTCTCCTGGTGCACTTGTGTAAGTGTGGCTGTAGGACCGTTGCCTTTGAGTTATGTTCTGGGCTCCCTGGGGATTCTTGAGCCTCTTTTAGAACATCTGTGAGGACAGAACTATTTTCATAATGTTAAGACATCATCTGCTCTTTTCACACCATTTTCTCAAAAGTTTAAATGTTTCTCAGATATGTGGTGACAGCATTGCTCTGACAGCAAACCAGTGTTTTTAAAATGTCTCCATTTATGTGTCTGAAGTGATACCTACTGAGGGACGTAACCACATGAAAGACAAGTCTTTGAGATGCTCATTGGCATTTCAGAACGTAGTGAGGCTCCGAGACCAAAAGTTTGAGAACCGTTGTTCTAAGGAGTGAGTTTAACTTGGTAACGTTGAGCTGTCTTCTAAAGCATTTGTACCCATTTACATTCCCACTGGCAGTGGGACTCCACATCCTGGCAAATATTTGCTGTTTTGTTGTTATTGTTGTTTTTCACATTATATTTTTATAATTTTTTTAAAGGTTTAATATTTGATTAGATATAATTCTGAGAACACAGTGACAATCCTCTCCCCCTTTCCCATCTTCCTCCCTCCCCCACCTTTTTTTAAACTTTTGAGATAACATACTTTAGACTTATACCACAGTAAAAGGCTTAATACTTCACCAAATAAGTTTAACAATTAAAAAGCAAAAAGACCTTAGTTCATGGGAACATACTTATAAATAATAATTGAATAGAGAAATGACTCACGCCTGTACAGCAAATTAAAATCACATATTATTAAACTATAGCTGTCTAACATCCTTAACCATTGATTTAACAAAACTGTCTAAACAGTTTTACAGAATTATATTTGCAGTGAAAATGATACATGCAGACTTTTTTTTTTTGTTCTTTTTGTTTGTTTTTTAAATTTATAGCTCCCACATATAAAGGAGAACATGCAGTATTTGTCTTTCTGGGTCGGGCTTATATTTCACTCAGTATGATATCCTCCAGTTGATTCTATTTTGCTGCAAGTAGAATTTAGTTCTGTTTTATAAATGAATAATATTCTATTGTGTATATATACCACATTTTCCATTCATCTGGTACTGGCCACCTTGCTTGATTTCACATTGGTGCAGGTCCTTCTGTGTTCAAGTCTTTGTGGTATATACCCAGTAGTAGGACTGCTGAATCAGAATGGCAAGTCTAATTTATTGTTTTAAAAAGACATCTCTACACTGTTTTCCACATTGATTACACTGTTTTATGTTCCCACCAACAGTGTATAAGGATTCTCCTTTGTCCACTTCCTTAATAGCATTTGTTACTCTGACAAGGATGAAGTGACATCTCATAATTTTGATTTGCATTTCCTTGCTGGCTAGAGATGTTGAGCATTTTTTCCCGATATATTTGCTGACCATTTCTACTTCCTCTCTGGAGAACTGTCAAAGTGTTTTGCCCATTTCTTAACTCAGTTGGTTGCCCTTTGGGTTGTTGTTCTTTGAGATTTTTAAGTTACCAAAATACTCGGGATGTTAATCCTTTACATAGTAAGTGTCTGGTGAATATTTTTCCCTCTTCTGTTGGATATCTCTTCGTTCTATTGATCTTTTCCTTTGCTGTGTGAAAGCTTCTGAGTTTCACATAGATAAAACACCTAAAGCACAGACAACAAAAGCAAAACTAAACAAATGGAGCTATAGCAAAAACACTTGCTTTTGACTGTCTTACAATATTTGCCAATGGATGGTTCTCCTATAGTATCTTACTT